TTATAATATTATACAATATTATTATAATGATAGATACTAATATTTATAATCAATGATTATACCTTTACGTATTTATATACTAATGAGATGACATGCATACAAAAAGTAATGTCGTACTAAACAAAAAAAAAAAAAAAAATTAAAAAAATGTTAATATATATATATATTTATAATGATATCTATTAATATAAATAATTAAATATTCATTAAACCATACTTTAGGGAATGGGACGTTTCGGCGAAATGTCAATTTGACGAGTTTCGTTTCGGCGATTTGTCAAGGTACTTTTCAACGCGGAATCATTTCGGTTATATACTCGCAGCAATGAACTTATATCTATAATATATAGCTTTGTCTCACTGCAGTGCAGAGTGTTGTTACACACCTACCCGTTTATTAAAACCAAGTGGCTGTCGATATTTATATCTAATTCTATCCAGTTAAGGCAGCGTTTCTCAACCTATAGTACGCGTACCACTAGTGGTACGCAGAAAGCTCAAAGGTGGTACTTGAATGAAAAATAAATATTTATCATAAAATAAAATATTATTTCGTTTATTTGATTACTAAACCAAATAGTCAGTTTTACTCACGTTAAAGATAGAAATTTCTCTATAATGTTGTAATGTTTGGTTGATTTATGTTTTAACAAATTGTACATGCTTGATTTTACTTTTGTTTAATACATTTTAATATTCTATAAATTTTTTTTTAAACAAAATTAAAAAATAAAGTTTTTTAAATTAAATGGTACGTGAAAATGTTCAAGATGTGTAGGTGGTACTCGGAAGTTAAAAGATTGAGAATCGTTGAGTTAAGGAGTACTTATTCCCACTACACGAGTCGGTCTTAAGGACCGGATTATTGAACTTGTTTAGCACGTAATAAGTGCGGTCCCAGACAACATTTTTATCACGCACTCGAGTAGGGGATAGGAGAAGGTGACCATAAATATATTCCTAACTGAACAAAATTATAGAAAACGCCGGAATTAACATTATACGTCCCGCGTTTGTCGGGCGCTAATAAAATATAATAATCAAATAATAATAATAAATACAAACGACTTAAATGTCCTAATAAAGGTGGGCGGGCGCCCATGAAATAATAATAAAACAAATAATTTGTATACAATTGCAATAAGTAAAACAATATATCTAATGATAATACAAGACAATTTAACGATACCGATACCGCTCGAGCCCTGCCTTGTGGTCCGGAACGCTGGAACAATGTTGAGATGAACGCCGCGTCACACCTGGTGACGAAAAACACCGTGTGAGATTCTGTGGCGACAACACACAGAAGAGCTCGTGTCAACACGTGTTTTCTTGGACGGCACGTTACACGACGCACACGAATAATATATAAAGTTTCGAGCGCCTTTCGCGCGCGGCGACGCCAATTGCAAATGAATTTTGTGTATGACCCCACCAGCACGGCAACGCAACTATGCGTATTTTTTTAGGCCACAACGCACAACAACTCGTCGACCACGTGGTCCGAACAAGACGCACAAGCAGACGATACGCGACGCCTATGGCAGGCGAAAACAACGTAGATCGTCCGTCGCGGTCGACCGCTGGAAAAGAACAACAAGACACGGCCGTTACGGCGGCGTCGGCGAGCATGACCCACCGGTGTCGCGATAGCTTAGGTTAGGACCTGTGCGTAAAAGCTCGCACCCGACGCACAATTGACTGAACTGGTTGTGCCATGGACGGCGCGAATTCGCGGTGGTTTAAACAGAACTTATACAAATAAAGTCTTCCTAGTTAAAATATATACAGGTCCTAGAAACTTATGACCTGCGTTCATAAACTAATGCGATAGAAACGATATTATAACAACGTATTACAAGGTTTATTTTATTCATATGACTAAATATCAACATAGTTACACAGTAGGTTAGGTATACACCATCACCTGAGTAACTCTGTTCTTGAGAGTAGTATTTTGAAGATCACGGGTATAGCGGAGTACGAGTTGAAGCGACTGAATATATTATGATTTATCTACGAGGTAGGTTATACCTATAGGCTATAGTAAATCAAATTAAAAATGTTACTTAAAAACATAGAGATGACTGTTGTCTCTATTTCACGAACAAAACTCGACTGATTAGCAATATCAATAATTTATAATAATATATACTCGTACTCTACGTTCCTGTGTTCTTCTGACTAAAGCAAAAATCACAGAATGACACGTCAGTAACAAATAAATCGTTACAGTGGTGTGCAAATATTATCTATGTATTCTATACCTATTACTATAAATTATTGTTATTATTACTACACGATAAGATGGTTACGATAGACGATAATTCGACCGGTCAGATAATTTTATAATTTTTAGCCTATCATCAGAATCGATAAGTTTTTATATTATTATTATTTACATGTGATTTGTAAGTGCTGTTGAGAGAACTTCTTGATATTCACAGCACATTTATATATATATATACCTATTATCGATTTATAGTTAAATATTATTATTATTATTATTATTATTATTTATGAACCGGTATTTGGTATTATTTATATTATAATTTATTGGTCACCCTATTTATTGACACTTGTGTATATTTATAATCTTTGTATTTTTTAACCGTTGTACGGTGCGAGTTGTCGAGCTAAATGCCAGCTAAGAGCTCGACAGTCCATACATTAACTATAATAATTATAATTATTTTAATTTATTTTTGAATTAAAATGAATATGGTATTTATTTTATTGTAAAATACAATTTTACATTGCATTACAACTTTTTTTTAAGTACCTACTATTAATTTTCGGCGTAACTGTCTCGCGCCGAAACGGACGTCGTCGAATTGACATTTCGCCGTAACGTCCTAGATCCCATACTTTACCTATGTACGTATGCATAATTCGTTCCATTCACCTTATTTTATAAAATATATCAATATCTTCAATTCAAAACGCGATGTAAACAGATGAAGAAAGCTGTTCCTTTAGTATTGATGTATTTGGACATTAAACATGACGCCATTAAGTTTCACCAAGAATTCTGTGTTCACGTAAGTTTTATTTCCTAGTCCTTTGAAGCTCTATAATTTAATTTTTAGACTTAAAATAAGTATACATTTATTTCGGTAAACAATCTGTGGATTATCCTTTATAATATTATAATTTTTTGGTTATAATGATATTATATTTTATTTACTTACACCTTAAATTTTATATTTTTTTCTAAACTGATAATTCATAGTTACATTTCAGCAAAATAATTAGTTTGTACTGTAAGTATCTTAAACGACTACTATGTTAAACTATTAATTTTTAATTAAATTTATAAATACATATTAATACTTTGATGTAATTACAAATTTTGAAATTTGAAATGAGTTTTTAGCATTTAAATAAAAGAAAATAACACATTAATATCAATTAGCTTATGTAATAGGCTAGAATATTCAAAATTTTTAATATAAACTGTTAACCACTAGTTATTGTGTATTTAGTTAAATATATACATTTATCTTTGTTGAAGATTATTATATTTTAGAATTACGTAATGGCTATATATTATAAGAACATAGAAAGACTACTCCAAAATTCTCCTAAGGTCAGAGGTCTGTACAATGTCTGAATTATAAGCGACATACTAACCTAAACTAACCATACAATTAAAATTTATAAGTGTCTTACAATAACTACAGAGATTTAAACAATTGCAACTCTGAAAACAATTTACTTTCTTGATGCATGCGTGTCAAATCCCTCACTTTTAACACTTATTTTATATTAAAAATTTGAAATTCATATGTTTACTTACTCTAATAATATAAATTAATGATTGAACGTATAAAAATATTCAAAGCGAACATTAATGAGTTGAAATGTTAAGGTTACGTAAGTTGATTTTAAATTTTTATTTGAGTGATAACTTTTTAGTATCCATTAAAATAAATTATTTATTTGTTAATTAACGTGAAATTAACGAATTAAAGTTTAATTTTAAGTAGTTAATTTAATTTATTTTATTTTCAATTTTATTGGATTTTAATATATTTCAATTGATTTCATTTTCATGTCAACAAATATTTCGTCGTATTTTTTTTTTTTTGTGACAAAAAATTTTAATAAAATATTGTTTAATAATACAGTATAAACAGTATAAAATACAAATTAAAAATTAAAATAGCTGTTATAAACAGCAGCATTATTTTTATTCTAGATAGAATCTATAACCTTAGGTTATACATGTGATTGAATTATTAATTGATATCAAATAAATGATCAAAATGATTAATATTATAACAAGTATTAGGTTTAAAAGATAATTTCCTTTACTATATGTTTATTATAATATGTATGGTAAGTAATAACTTATTTATCTATAAATTATAAATAAATATATTTCTTAATATTTTGTATGAAAAAGATAATAATATCGCAGCTAATTTAAATTACAAAAAAATATGGCCATAAAGTATGTAAATCTATTCACCTGTAATAAGATTATGTAAAATTATCATTTTTAGATGAACTTACTTGATAAGTATTTTTATTATTTTATGCGCTACTTTGTTCTCTAGTTATCTGTAGTTTCTAAGCTATTTACTCATGTACCAATAAAACAAAACAGAATATTACAATAATATAATATGCAATAAATACTGAAATAATCAATAGTTCAATGTTGTAGACCGTTATGAGTAAGTATATTACAGTATCTAGTAAAACTATCTTTGATTGCAAAGTAATATGTAGCCGAATATTATAAACCTAAACATAGGTAAAATAATCAATTGGAATATATTATTATGATTACCTCTTTATATTTTATACCATCTCACTACTATTAATTTAAGTTAATATTTTTCATTTCTCCATTTACTTATACAATTAACGACATATTAAGTTTTACCCATCAATCACTACAGGAATTACAACTTAAAAACCATAACCTATAACATTACATCGTTACAAACAATAGATACAAAATTAAATATATTTATAAATAATGATTTAACATAATTTACATATTTGCTTCCTGTTACAAATCATAAATATTTGTGAGAAAACCATACAATTCCAAAATCAGAACAATACATATTTTATAATCACATTATCATGTATTATAATATTATAATGCAATAATTTCACATATTATAAAAAAAATAAGAAGCAAACAAAACAAAAGTACAAAGAATTCTAGAAATCAGACGCGTGTAAAATAAAATAAAATTAATAAACTGACAAAAATATTATGCAGTATTCGATGGTTGAATATTTAAATAAAACTTAGAACTAAGGTTTTCCGTTAGTCGTTACATTGGTAGCTGGAGTTGGTGCCGGTGTAGTATTCCCCTTGTCTTTTGAAGGTTTGGTATTTGCAACCGTGACGCTGTTTTTATTGTCTTTTTTGGTTTCTTTCTTTTTGGGTTCATTTATTTTCGAAGACGTTGACGATAAATATTCCTGAAATTATTTTAAACAAATTAATACGAATTCCACCAAGCAATTTCCACCTCTATTTAACTAGTGACTACTAGTTATTACCTAAAAAAAAAAAAAAATCGCTTACCAGTATTAATTTTCTTATATCTTCAATAAATTCCTTATATTTGGCTAACTGTTCATTGGTAAATTGCACAACTATGCCTTTTGCATTTTCCAAATGGGCGTACTAAAAATGTTAAAACATCATATTACATATGACTATATGAGTAATACAACACACATTGAAATTTGACTAAAAATAGAGATAATCTTATGAGTGAAAAGCGATATTTGGGACACTTAGAGTTAGAAGTTACTTGATAAATTGGACCATTTTAGTATATGCCTATAATCTATACTGATTAAATAACGACAAAACTTAATATTTCTGAAACTATAAATCAGCTATAAATGAAATTATATTGGTTATGATATGAGCGTAAAATAGAAACTCAAAAATTAAAATAAATTAAATTTCAAAATTTCTCAAAAAATATTTATGCATAATTTATAATTATATCTTAATTTTGTGTGAATAAAAAATGCACACCCCATTACCCCTAATCATTTCAGTATTAACTATAATGTTTTTCAGACACCTTTATAATTTGATCCGCCAAGATAGCAGCCTCCTGGGTAACGTAGGTGATTGTATGTCCCAAGTATGCGGGTCCCATACTGATGTTTTTGGCTAAAAAATTTGTCACGTGCACGAAACGCCTAGCTCCCTCCCTCGATAACATTTCGATGAGCTGTTCAATGTTCTCCGGTGGTTTTTGATTTTCTGGTTCGTCCTCGCTAAGGTGTTTCCATATGGCCTTCATTTTTTCCGAAAATGCTTTAGGATCTTTGGCCAACTGAAATATTTCACAATTTCTGAATTTAAATTATTTTTCTCGAATTCAGTAGCTCAGTGGCATAAACCATGTATCGCTATACCGAATACTTTATTATTCCAAATACTCATAACTTAGCGTTAATTTTTCAATAATAATTATTATTATATAAAATAATGTGAGTACGTAAAACCCACAGATATAATGTAATCACACATTTTATAATTTTGCAATAATGATATTTTTTTATAATTAGTTTTGTAACTAAAATAATACACACGTATAATAATAAGTTGTTTACATTCGAAACCCACTAATCAACGATTTTTAAACGGACGTAATAGTTTCAAAACAATACCTCATTAAAATATGACGAAATACTCAATAACATTCTCGGTATTTTTCAATAAGTAGTTATCAACTCTACTATAAATTATAATATTATTTTGATCTAATCAATCTTGATTTCGATGATTTCATATCGATATTTTAAAATAGTTAATCTTTAAAAATAAAAGACAATTTATTATTACGTTATTTACTAACCACAGTCACACTTTAAGCATTTAAAAATACAACCCAAAAGTACAAATTAAACTTTAAAATTCTAAAATAAGAATTTGAATAAATGCTTTATATATTAGAGGGAAAAAAGAATGATCGTACTTATGATGAATCATTTACCATAATAAGCTATGCACATAAAACAATAGCATATTGAGCTTAATATATTATTATATTGTTATTATCAGGGTTGAGCAGTATCTTCGATACAAGTATCTAAGATACAATTGTATTGAGTATCTAGTATCTCGATACTTCAAATCTAAGTATCTAGTATCTAATATCGCGATACTGATTTTTGAGTATCTTGCCCATCCCTGGTTATTGTACTAATTTTATTATAATCAGATTGTTTTACTATTGAAAAAAAAATAATAAATAAGGCGTTAATAAATAAATATAAGTATAGTCGAGCATCGACCATAACCATATTAATACAAAGTTCTTCATAAGTTTTTCTAACATCATATACACAGTTAAAGTTTTTATAAGGTTTGAAAATTTAATACATGGCTTTTTATACATTTTCCCATTAAAAAGTAATTAAAATACTGCAATTAATCTCGTAAATTGCCAAAAAGCTTGAAAATTTAATTTAAGATCCCAGGATATTTATCCTTAAATAATTTTTTTAATATCGTAAATACTAAGACGCGTTATACTATTATAAGCATTTCAAATTCAAATTTTAACAAAAATCGTCATAGTGGTTTTGTAAAATTGTAAATAAAAATGTATAACATTTTCAATTTTAATAACTAAAAAATTAATAATTAAGAATTAAGATCTGTATAGAAAATTCCTTGTAAGTTGTTCTCATAGCAACCTTAAAATTTTAATTATTCAACAACACAGTTTTTTATAGACATTCTAAGTTCAAATTTGACAAAATTAAATACTTTAAGGAAAAATAACAGCCCAATCTTTGTTATTCAAAAAAAATTATTCGAAGGAATTTTAAATTAGAAATATGTGTAAATGGGTACTCACGAGATCTGCAAAATATACGAAGCATTGGACAGTATCGTATCCCTGTTTTTTGAGCAGCTTAGCCTCGGCAATCGTTCTACGTGTCAAACGTCTTTGCAATTTCCTGGAAAAGTGGTTGACGTGTCGTATAGTTTTCACTGCTTGACTAGACGGCTCTGTACCTGCAGTAGGTAACAACAACACAATATATTGCCGAAACATTGTATAGATCGGGACTATAATACGATATTATAATTAGTAATCACATAGATATTATAGGCACATTATATAGATGATAGATACTTTGTACGTCTGTGGAAAACAAAGCCCAAAAATCCCTTTTTTTAAAAACCTTTTAAATGAAAACATTTTTACTTGGTTTGTCAGCGACGTCTTCGCCTGGATCCTTGTCTGGCAAGTATTTGTCCACGTATTTATCGGCCACGCTCAATGCGTCGTCCAACATGGTGAGCTGCTTTACGGAGTCAGCACGGTTTAGGACCGGCTCGACTTTGGCTTTGACGAAGGTCTTGGTTGTGAAATAAATCTAAAAAACCGACCAAATGGATTTATAAAGTAACAATTACATTCAAGAATTTTAGCAAAAATAACTTAGTTGTGTTTACCTATACAAATAATTTTACTTATGGTTCTAAATTTTATATATTGTTGTCCGTTTATAGGTACGAAACATAGTATATATCGTGTATACATAAACTTTTGTACTATATACTATTATAATTTATAATTATAGAGTTGCAGTTTACCAAGTACTTACTTGTTATTATTCAATCTTAATAATTAAACGCTATTATCTTATTAAATACAGGTGATTCCGGAGTCTCTATATATTAAATATATATTATGTATTTTATTATTATATATGATTAATTTGTTTATGTTAATGCTTATCGTTTATTGGACATTGGTCGATATTATCTAACTCGGACGACGAACATACGAGTTATGGAAAATAAATAGAATAATAATAAAACAGAACAAAGGTATATTATCACATCATGTGTAATTATCATTGAACAATATGTCTTGGAAAATCAAAACGGTATAAAACTAATCTACCTAAGCTGCTATATTATTATCAAATTAACTAATGAGTCAAGTTTTATTATATTATAATAATTAATTTTATCAATATCATTGAGTATATTATAACTAAGGCTAGGATAGTATCGGTAAAATACGATTGAGAACGATATTTTTGGTAACACGATTGAGAATGTTTGAGGTTTTTTATTTTTTCCAACGTTGCCAAATATAATCAATCGATAATATGAGCACAATAATCTGTTGATATTTATTGGACTTTTATCAAATTAGCCGGATATTAATAGTAACTTAGATACCAGATACTAACTAGAAAATGATATACGAGTAATAGTCAATTATACAGCTTCTCATTCAACAATATATATATATATATAGTTATTTAAGTTCTAATTGAAACTCAAGCAGAAACAATATTGAAAATATCTACAATTCAAAGTAAAAAAAAAAAAAAAATGCCAAAAAAACAAAAGGATAAAATAAGTACTTAATATTCATAATAAATATATGTGGTGTGTGGGAAATAAAAATTCTTATAGTATATTAAAATATTTGGAGTATGTTGGCTTACACTATCCTGCAATAACTGATATATAGGTAATTAAGTTGTCATTACAAAATATTATACTTATTTCATTTTTATACATATATATTTCATAATTTTATAAGTTCTGCATAATTTACATTTTTTTTTATACACATATATACATTACACAGGTATTATATATTTTTATAAGTTCTACATATTTTAAATTTTTTATTTATATTATAATATATTACATATTATTGGGCGTTTATTTATATACGATTATAATTATTAATGTATGATTTTTTTTTAAGAATAATTATTTTATGTATACTGAATTTTTCAAAAGCCAAATAGATGATATGGTAAAGTTGCACGTAAATTTGTTCTCAATCGTATTATTTTTTGGATTTTTTTTCGAATCAGCGGTAAGTTCTTTGTTAATTTGAAGTGTTCTCAATCATTCGATAGCCGATATTATAGAATTTCACATTTTTTTTTTTTAGAATTTACAGGATATAACTTTTCAAGCACAAAATGTGATTTGATCATCTACGAGTACAAATATATAGTTTTTATTTTGCATTTTTTATACTTTATTAAAATCAGGGTAATATTTTTATAAATTTTTAAATAGTCGTTTTAAATTATTGTACAAACATATAAAGATACAACATTAAAATAAAATTGTAAACATATTTTCTAAAAATATTTAATACTTCACAATACCAATCGTTTGTATACAGTGTTATTTTATTTCAAAATATATTCATTTTAGAACAAATGACGCTGGCCATTATACCAGAAGATAAATTTATTTGTATGCTTAAAAATATAAATTAATTTATTAATTTATTAATATAATTATTTTTTTCGAGCATTTTATGAAGTCATTTTTTCTTATTGAGTTATTTTTTTGATCATTTTTTAGGTTTTTTAGGTATTTTATGTCATTAAAATTCTAGCCCTAATTATAACATATATTATGTAAGTTATAATATGCGTTATTTATGTTATGATATATATAATGCATTTTTTTCAAAAAAAACAACTCTCCCTCCACTAAATGTTCCTATATTACTTATATTATACTCTTATATCCTAGGAAAATCTTAAGTTATTTAATTAATTGATAAATTAACAGTTTTTAAATGAATTATATTTTATTTTTTAGATTTTATATTGACTCTAAACTTTAAATTGAAAATCAGCATTTTTAAATATATACATAATATTATGTCAGTGATAAAAACATATTAAATGAAAATAAAATAATTAATATTCTATTATGAATTAGGTAATATCAGTAATAAAATCAAAAACTCTATAACTTACTCTCTTTTTAGATCAGTGTTTCTCAAACTGTGAGTCACGACCCCCTGGGGAGTCGCGAATCAATTTTTGGGGGGTTGCGAGAAGTATTATTATATTATTATTATAAGAATATTATTAAAATTATTATTATTATAAGTATATTATTACAATTATTATTATTATAAAGTAGTAAATAAGTAATAAAAAAATTTATTTTTTGAAATTACTTTTTTGATTCTGTAAATGTAAAATTATGGGAGTCACGATAGATTTTTGGAAAAAAAAATTGGGTCGTGGTCCTGAAAAGATTGAGAACCACTATTTTAGATAGTATATTATTAAACTATCTGTAACGATTGTTGAATATTATATAATGATATACTTACGAAGGTCATGAAGTTTTAACTATATTATTATTATTACTATTATTCATTGAACTAGTTTTATAATAAGACTGTGGATAATATGAAATTACAATAATAATACGCCAGCTTATTTTGCCTTTAAATTCTAATAAAGTTTTGGGTTATTAAATGATTACACATCTATTTTTAAATTTTGTAACTATATCAATTAGATCATAAGGATATTCATTTCAAATTAGGTTAGTTAACCATTCTATTCTGAGGTACAACTATTTATATATATTTATTATAATTTATAATATAATATACTTTAATGTAAATTTGTATATTATCTACCTAATTTTTATATACTCACAGCCCCCTTCTCTCATAGTTAATATATATAATACCATAATCAAATAAATTATAGAATTACTACATTGAAATAATTATTGTACCTCAAATCTTATAACAATTATTATTACCAACGTCTAACATCATTACGATACTAATCAAAAACACCATCTATAGCAATCTTTATTATGATTTATCCTCTTATTCCTAAATAATATAAAAAGGAATGAACACATTTAATACTTCATAGGTATAACTACTTATTTTATAATAATAAACTTCTTAAAAAGCTAAATATTATACTTTTATAATATATTTTAGTAGATTATAAAATCAATTGTATAACGTGAAGTGTACATACTAATAAAAATCAAGAAATTTAAGTAATATATGACCTTGAAGATATAACAAAATTTTAACATTAAAAGCTGAAAAAAATGATTGGTCATTAAAATATTGATTTACACCAATGTGGATATTAATAACATTAAAAAGTTAATTGGTTTTTAAACTTTTTAACCTAAATATTTAGTTTATTTTCTTATTAATTTAAAAACTTAAAACTTAATGATGTTTAGTTTACCATTTAAATAACTTATCAGTTGATTTAAAAATAATCTTTTAAATTTTTGGTTTTTGTGATTTTATACATTAATTACTGTATAAACTATTTAAAATAAAAATAATCTAATACTATAATTTCTGTTAAGTTTCTTGATAAATTATGATGTTTAGATAATTTCAAAATGTAGACTAAACAGTAGGTATTTATTTACTAATTTAAATGATTATACATTATTATACTAAATTATAATATAATTTATGATGTACTTTCTTGTTTTAAATTATTTTATAAATTAAATGACTCCATATTTTTGATTCAAAATCTCAAAAATAAATTTTACTCATAAAAGGTTAGTTACTAAGTTTTATAAATTACTTTTACAAAAATTACGGTTATTACAAGTAATAAGATTAATATAACACAGTATTTTAAAAGCACTCACCTCTTCTGGAGTATAAGTAACCATCGGTACGTTTTGTTCGACAATATCCAATGACTTACACATAATATCGTCAATTTTATTGATCGGATCTTCAAATTTGATAACTAATGGAACAGACATGTCCACTACGCTCAATACGGTCTTTTCTGCATTTTCTAGGCTGTATTCAATCACTCTGTTCGACATCTATGTATGTTTAATCACAAATTATTTATCATAAAAAATAATTCTCGAAAGAATCAATATATAAATTATATATATATATAATAAGCAATGTACTTATGACTTACCTTAACTTTTACGTAAATGTATGTCACTTTATTGACACCTGACGATACCATCGGCAATTTCATAATCCTGTTGATGGCCACAAAGTGAGGCAAATCATGTTTGCTTGAAGCTGTCATTGTCGGTGATTTTATCGCGGAAATCTATATCTATATTTATAAAAAAAAAATTTATAATGTATAAAGGTACCTACACTAATATTACTATTTTAGAGAAAAAAATGTACCTATGATATGTTTCTCCTTCAACGCCACACAGTTGAGTGAATCGAAGATCTTCAGCAATCTGCAATATTAATGTATGTTACTGTGATATATACTATATATCATGTGGTGCGTGTGTGTGTAAATCTATAAATGTTTATAGGTACGTGCATGAGTAATGATGCCTAAAATATTGTGACCTTTAAAAGGTTATCAGTACATTCAAACACATGTAGGGTGTAAGTATAAATAATATTAACTATTATAACGTTTCGTTGAAATCGATCAAAGAAAGTTTGATACATTGGACCCGTGTCCAAAAATATTATATATATTTATATGTTACAAAATTATTTAATCACTGAAGTAAAAGAATAGAAGAAATGTTTAAAAATTAAATTTAAAGTATAAACAATAACCTTGTTAGATAAATAAGATGAGTCGTATGTGTATTATTTTACGTGACTAGAATATAATATTAGTACTTACCAGAAATTAACTAGATTTAAATAAGACTTTGATCAGTTGAAAAATAAAAAGTGCAACGTCTTACATTAGTGATGTCTCATCGATTATTTCAATTTATGTCATAATATTTGCTAACTATAACACAATAATTAAAAGAACAATAAACATGATATTATACAACCGTAACGTAATTGATTAGGTATTTGGAGCGGGTAGTGGACAACCATAAGCAAAATTGATGACTTAACATAATATTATAAAACATTTTGTTATTGTTATAGTAAATCCAATAAATTCATAAAAAATAACACCATCCGAAATAATTGGTTTATTGCTATTACAGCTATACGTACAATAATTTGGTTTTTAAGTATCAATAATGTATGTATTGTATTATCTTCGATCAAAAATTGTTGATCATATAAATATGTAATAATATTGATAAAATATTAATTTGAAATAATAAGTGATTTTCCTTTAGATTTTATTCATACGTTAATAATTGATATTTGATATTTTAGTATTTATTGATATAAGCACCAGTTGGATTTTTACATATAAACAGTATATAATAATACATAAAAAGATAGTTATTATAACATTAGATGAAATAAATATTGTAGATAATAGATTATTAATAAAGTAAGAAGAAAAAAATGTTAAAAAATGACAGAATTTAAGGACATATATTAATATTATTAATATTTAAACTACGAATTGTTCAAAAAATGGGATCATTCGTAAAAAAATTGAACTAAAAGTTGAGATGTAAAAAGTCTCTATCTATAAAAGAGGAACTAGTGTGGGCCATTTCATCTAATATGAAAACAATAAAATATATTTACACATATTTAGTCACTAGATATAAAATAAAATTGATAAAAATATAATGTGTATATAATATTATAAACATTAAGTGACATATTTTTCATTTTTAATTCTAAAGCAAAAGCGCACTATATTATGTATCTATATCTTATTATTTTAGGTATAGCACATTCATGATTCAATACTTCATGATATAAATACATTTGAATCATTTTTAATGATGTGAAACTCACATCAATTAATATTTTATAAAAATAAAAATGCGTGTTTATTATTTTTATGAATATATATTAACAAATAGATATTATCAGTAAAATATAGTTCAAAAACCAGCAAAAGGGCATTTCAGACATTATTTCTCTAATATATTGTATCGGACATAAGTTGTGATTAATTAAATTATTATTTACATTATATAACACACCTTGTAATAATATAGTTAACACAGTTTAATAGATATAATATATAATTTACATATTTAAAACAAAATGAAGAATGAATAATAATGATTTTAGAATAATGTATTATTTATTTAATTAATTAATTTTCCGTTCATTTAAATTACATTTTAAAAAATAAGAATTTCATAAGATTTATGTAACACAGTTGACTACAGTTAACCCACTGAATATTTTACACAGACAATGCATAACTAACAAATTTTTCAATTTTTCCAAAAATTTAAAAGAAAATTGTAATTGCAATTAGAAACAACTGTTTGAGCTTGGATGATTTTAATATTTGCAGCAATATAATACTTAAATTTTGAATAAAATATGTTATTTCTTGTAATACGGAAAAAATCTTTATCCTACAAATTTCAATTTTACATACATTATGAATTCTTTAAAAAATAGAAATTTTTACAAACAAGTTATAATAGTCTACTTAATTTAACAAGTTTAAGTATATTTTATTTAAAGTCTCAAAAGTTATTGATCAAACTTTTTAACGTAATCGATTGAGAGCTTATAATATAGCCATTTAATAATAATTTAACGAATAATAAGGATTTATAAATTCAAAAACAATAAATAATTGACGATATTAATTTTAAAAACCTGAACAATTATTAATTAATAAACGATAATAGTTCATCTATTATTATAACATTATTTCAATATTGTATTATTTTTTTTTCATTATTATTTTTTTTTTTTTTTTTTTTGCGTTTATTAGTTAAAACATTATGGCATAGTAATTATATGATTTATAAAAGTGATTATATGAATAAATCAGAAGATTTAATCAAGAAAATAATAGTTTTAATAATGAGTTTCAGTATCATTATTTAGTATTGTACCTATACATTTTAATTTCACAAATTATTACAAAAACAGTATATTTTAAAATAAAAAAAAAATTTTATCATTTTTTTTTTTTATCGCATTCAGCTATATTTAAATAACTTATTATGCTACACAACTCAAACATTTTAACTATACTTATTTTGTTTTTTTTTAATGCTTATATTTTAAAAAATTATATAAAATAATTTGTATTCAATATCATAATAAAAATATTCTAATTTTGTCATTTTGAATATCAATAAACAAATAAGTATTTAATGAGATATAATTATTAATAATAAATCGAACTCTACTCAGCATTGTTTTCCACACGCAAAGATTTAATATTTCTGTCAAATGTCAACACAACGACGCATCCACAACTACTGTACCTCACAATGTTTTAATCTTAAATGTTACAACATAAAATATGTTAAATATAATACATACTGTTGTTATTGTGAGTACAAAAATTTCAAAATTCATCAAAATAATGTATTGTTATTAGTTTTTTATTCGTAATAAATAATTATAGATAAATATTTAATGTTTATAGGTAATACTTTTTTTATAACTAGGTGCTAAGTATAATCTATCTTTATTTATGTATGTATAAAAATGAATGTTTTAATTTTTACTTTGTTATCTGTAGATTCAACAACACTACTGGACCATTTTCAATAAAAATTAAAACAATACATTTTTCGAGGCTCGGAGAAGACTTGAAGCTTTATTTTTCAACTAATATAAGTTGCTTTAGGGTGTCTCACGCAGTCACTCATATATTTTGATTCGATTTACGAAAATCGAATATTTATTTTTACATATCTAAATGATTGCCATTGACTGCAGATGATAAAATAATTACTATAGTTAGATAAAGTTTCTGTATCGTTTGATATTTTATAATTTATCCTTATAATACTATTCTATGTAAATGTAATAACAATATATAGTAGGTACACATAGAATAAAAACTATATTATATTATATAAATATATATTTTTATATTTCTTGACTGGCAGAGAGTTAACATACACCCTAAACTAAAGTAGATAATTGTAACGTCCTTTTTTTCACTAGTCTCTATCGTCTCGCAGTGTTGAAACTATCTAAATAAATAATTAGTTATGTTTTATCTAACAAAGATAAATAGTTGCAAGTTATCTAAATACTTATTTAAGATAAAAAAAATTCTTCTATTTAGTTATATTCGTCTATAAAAAAAAATAAAACGCAAATTTTTATTATCAATGAACAATAATTTATTGTATCTAAAACTAATACCTACTAAATTCTATTTAAATAATTTCTATAAAAAAATGTTAAATATATAATAATATCATATATTATTAAACTATTTAGTAAGTAGTTCTGTGCCTATTAATTACTGTTAATACAAAACCTGAAATCAGATAATCGTAAAATTTATAAGAATATCTTAAGTCTAAAATTCTTGAAAGTATGTAATACCACAAACAATTGTAAATTATTTTCGAAAAACTGGCTTTTCTATTTGTAAAAGGAAAGAAAATACTGGTTTTGATAAAATTACATTAATAGTTACAATAAAGAACTGAGACAATATGAGACAAATTGTAAATATATTCTTGTCAATTACGTACTTTATTGAATATTGACATGGACAATGACTCGAGCATTTGGGCATTAGGTAGTAACGGTTATAACAAGTACGTATTGCATCATTTATACAATGAAGAGGGACAAAAATGTATCTAACCGCCGTACAGATACATTACAATAATTGTGATTTATTGGTGATTTATTGAAAACCAACAAGAGGTCAATAATAAACCTTATTCAGTTTTAAACAAAATAAATTTAATAATTCATATCAAACGCATCGATCAACAACAACAAAAAAACAAGAAACAAAAATTAATACTATCTCAATTAATTTTTTTTTTATTAAATTTAATTTTATGAGAAAAATAATATTAAAAAAGGTCTTGAAAGTGTAAACCGCTCGGACGTACATTTGTAATCGAATGGATGAGTGTGTTACATTTGAATAGTGATGTTCGAAGATATAGAAAGTAAGTTAATATAATTTTAACTATGTTCAAAAGGTGGTAGGTATTAATTTTTTTTAATATATATATTTATTGATCACACGCCATACTCTCGTAAAATATAATATAACTATACCAAATTTCGTATTTTAAAATTTTCCTTTTTTGCGGGCGAAAGTTCACTTAAACCGATGAGGTCACAAAGTTATAGAAATTATACTTTGACCGATACACACCTAGCGTTGATTCAATTTACCACCGGATTTGTCCATAAAGTGAGAAAAACTATCACTGACATTTTCGGGAACTAGATAAGTACACTAACACTAAAATACGCAGTGTGTGATATTTTATTATAATTGTTTATATTCTTCCGGATGAAGTCGGGTAACACAGCTAGTAATATATAAAAAATAAATTATATTTACTTTACAACTTAATATTTTTTATTCGAAACTTATTAATCTAATGCAAAATAATTAATAAAATAAATTATAAATTATGTTATCAATCAAATAATCAAATAATATATTATAACACAAAAAATAAAGTTACATAAATAATACTATACGCATCAATAGTGTAGAAATACAATATGAATCTCAATATACGATACAAATTTATAATAATTATAACGACAACAACAACATTAACAACAACAATAACAACAATAATAATAATGATCCATTAAGTCATTAAATAATACCCTTATCATACCACCAGTTTATATAATAAGTATAATTCTTGGCTCATAAATAGATACATATATATGTAGTTTGATACCACCTTGAATGTATAATAGGTACTGTAAGATGTATATGTATATGTACGTTACGTTTTTGTTTTAGTCGAATCCTAGTTCTGCGTCCACCATTGCTTCTTCGGAAGATTTAATCACCATATATCTTGGTAACCAAGTTCTTAATGTTGGATCATAGACCGGCACTGTTTCCTCGCTGTACGCTCCTTCGGGTCCAAACGGATCTACGTCTGGCAAGTCGTGTCTTGATACCTGTTTACTACTAGGATCGTCCGCATAATCGTACTCCTCCACACTTTGCGCCTCTGTCTGATCATCTTCTTCGACAGACTCTGCCTGATTTTCAGTCACCGGTTTTCTGTAAAGTCTGTAATTTCTGTTCCTGTTATACCGCGGCTGAATATGTGAGTATTGTGCTGTAGGCTCGTAACTAGAACCAAACAACGGAGCATAGACGTGCGTCAACGATGACGAAGCTGGCTGCTGTAGCTTGTGACTCTCGTTAGACTTGTTCGCATCTGTAACAGATTTCAACAACTCTGGGCTGGTGTTAAATTTTTTTGTTTCGTGATAGGACTGTTTTCTATCTTTTGGCGCGCTATCTGTAATGTACATGCATTCTTCCGTCTCCGAACCCTTATCGTCTTTACACTTGTAACATGTCATCTTATCTTTAAGCGATTTCTTACAATTCGATCGATCTTTATTACGAAAATCGCCCAACATCTTGTTCACTGGGCTTTCTTCGTCCGAGTTGAAATCAATCGATAAGTCTTTATCACCAAGCAATAAAGATTTAGTTTTCTTAAAACCGATTTGCCCGTTGTCCAAAAATCCAAAGTCTCCATCTTTTGACGAAAACTTAGTGGCTATACTACTCTTCCGCTTTAAGCCAAGTTCCGGAAACAACTTTTTGAAGTAATCATCGTATGTTCGGTCACTGTCCAATTGCCTTTTATACCTAGGTTTGCCGTACACATTACGTGTAGAATACTCATAAGCGTTTTTCTTTGGATCATCTTCATATTCACATTGTTCATACTGTCTATTTGACAGATTGTCTTGACATACATTACATACGTTTCCTTTTTTCATTACTTTATGACAAGTAGAAGATTTTATCGGTAATGATGGCAAACTATATTCTTCACTTTCATTTTCAGCCGTTTCGTAATTCTCTGGATCATCATTGTCGTAATCGACTACGGCTTCTACATTTTGAACATACTCTGGATCTTCTTCAGACTCTTGAGCATTGACGTTGTCGTATTCATAGTCCTCTACTTCTTCACCACTATCTGGTCGCTTTCGTTTTCTCTGTTGTATAACCCTGCGTTTAAATCTATTTCGTTTAAATGGATTTAATTCATCTGGTTCATCAGATAAGGGGTCAGATTTATATGAACATTTTTCATATGAACCTCCAGAAACTAAATCTTTGCACACCATACACGACATTTTTCTTCCTATAATGTCATGATCCTCAATATCATTTGGTGTCATAGATTTTTTCAATTTCTGACACACTTGTCGCTTTTTAGTAGGAAATCGTCTTGATTGTAAAGGCCTGGGTTCATCAGCATCTTCTGTATCTTCATTCAAAATTGATGTTCGCTTATTATCGCGTATATTATTATATGGTGAACGTCTTTTTTCTTCATTTAACCTTAAAGGTCTTCTGCTATTTCCGCGTAATTTTAATGGTTGTACATCATCATCATCATTATCAAATACCCTTAAAGGTCGTTTATTTTCAACTAATCTTTGCGTATAATCATCATCAGCAAATCGATATGGCTGCTTTTTTTTATACGCTGATCGATGTGTAAATGGCTTCTGGTAACTATTAGAAGTTGCTGGTAATTGATTTGTGCCGTAACCAGGAACTTTTTTCGTCAAAGGCCTTATTTTAAACTGATTATCTAATATATCTGATCCTTTTATTTTATTATGAATAGGTTTCCAACCGTTATGAGGCTCAAAATTGTCGTAATCTTGTTCAAAGGATTGGTGTTCAGTGAACCGTCCATCATTACCATCTCCGAGGCCTCCATTTCCTCCTCCATCACCTCCTCCGTTTCCTCCACCACCACCTCCGCCACCATTACTACCGCCACCACCTCCGCCACCACCTCCGCCGCCCATATCGTCACCACCATCATCGCCATCGCCACCTCCACTGTCACCTCCATCATCTTGATGTTCTGGTATTATAAACGGATAATCTGAATAATGTGAAGACGGTGCTGATATATAATTTGAAGGTCTTAATGGTTCATAGTTTAGTACAAATTTGGGCTTTACAGATTGTTTTTGAGGCAAATGGAATTTGTCATAAGCAGACTGGTCAAAATTAAAATCTAAACCGGACATTTGTTCATCAACATCTTCTTGTAATTCAGAAAATTGTATACTCGGTTTTCTTCCTTGATCTGGAGATAAAAATGATTTAAAATGACCATTTTCAGCAGCTTTTGAATCAATAGATGAACGGATATTTTCGAATATCTTTTCAAGTCTATAGTTGTCATCCGGTTTTGATAATGTAATTGGTATAATGGTGTTCAATGTTAGAAAAATTCCTAAAGTGATTGCTTGAAACACCTAGGACAAAGAATTTAAATTGAGTACAGCTCTTCAAATAGTATGCATATTACATACGTAATACAGAATCTCATGACTATACAAACTACCTACTGTTTGTATTTATTGTTAAATTTTATGCTATTATTCTGTATTAAATCGACCATTAAAGCATTAAAAGAGGTCAATGAATTACACGCTTCGTCAATTCTATCGTAATAAAATACAAGATTTTTTTCATAATTGTGTAACGGGCATAATACCTCTACGGCTCTATATGTAAACATTAAATACGCATAAATCCGCCAACTTAAACAATCGTTCATTGGAAAATGTAAAAATAATTTATGTCATACAAATTGTTTCTGTAATTCGTTAAAATATCTAATCGTAGATTATTCACGGATATCCGAAGGTCAAATTATTATACTCGTATACGCAAAATAAAACAATGTCTTCATAAAACGGCATATCACACGCATCGCATTTTATTTAAAATATGCATTAAATATATTTGTTAGGTATTGATTGCACGTTTGTTAAACGGACCAAAGACATTTCGGAGCTTTTGCAGGATATCTGCCATTATTCATATGTATTCTAGTATCCTACAGCTATATAGGTAGTCGTTCATAATATTATTTACCTATCTATTTAGCTGATACAATTTACAACATGATAAAACAGCGTTGAAAATCTAATAAAAGACAATACGAGATCGAACACTATCATAATTAACTATTTAAATATTTTTTTTTAATAATTATAAACACGAAGCATCTGTAACAGGGGTACAAAAGCATAAAAAAAAAACAACTAATAATTTAAGTCAATACAATATTACCTGGAATGTGATGTGTGCGACGATCATGGCGTTAGGACACGCTCAGCTTAGCAGTGATCTGGACAAACATGTAGTCAAGTGCGCGCACACGTCGTCCGCAAGAATCGCATTAACACCTATCACAGAGAGCTGACGGTGTTTGGGTGTTTTTGCGAATCACGCGGTGGCGCCTCCCACTCAGCGCGCGTTTCATGTTCTATTCGTTTGCTATTTCGCATCCAACAGACCACGTCCAATCGGTTTACCGTGAAAATCATACCGTTCGTTTTTATCGCCAGAAGAATTATAAATGAAATTAACGAGGAGAACGTAATAATAGGTAATGAAAAAAAAAAAATGAATAAAAATAAACAAAACAAACAAACCAGTTATAGGTAATATCGCCGCAATGCAAAAATGCATTTGACTATACTTTAGTTGCATGATCAAAAATTTTCTCAAAGGAAGTGTTGTACCTATATAACGTGTGACACACTATAATAAGACACTATATATAGTATTGATTAGGTCAGGTTTAGTTGTCCAAGCATGATTATACTATTGGTTTTATAATAATGGCATAATAGGTATGTGGCTTTTCCTTTTTCTACTCAGCCATAGAACATCAAAAATAAATTTCATTGTTTTCTTGTTTATAATACCTACTATTGATTACTGATTTGTACTTATAAGGTATAATTTATAACCTTAATCATATTTAGCTAAAATATACTTTGTTGATTTTTAAAAATGTATGCCACAAAGATATTTAATTTAGTCAAAAATGTATTTTTATTAAAATAAAAGTGATTTAGTAAAAGTTAAATGAACAAAAAAAAAAAATGTTTTAACATTCTACAGTTTTTAAGTGAGTTTTGAACATTTTTGAATTTCAATGCTTTGTATACTCACGCTTAGTTCAAAATAGAAAATCATAAGAAACAACACACCAAAAATACAGATAAAAATAATTGTACAATTACCATCTGACCATGCACTTTTATATCGCCCTAATATTTTAGCTCACAACACAAACTTGAAACTGCGCACTGCTAAACAGAAATTTGCTATGTTGTATTAAATCCATTAAATGACTTTATGTTAATTATTTGCTTTCATATTAAAATCTAGCCACGAATGTATTAATTCATTATTAGTAATAGGTTGAAATTGTATTATGCCTCTAAAAATATTCCGGTTGAGCCCGGACTTGATCGGCTCGCCCCGTACGCACGCTTATGCTCATACATTAAATTAATTTTCACGAAAATCGAATATTGTTTTGTTTATATAAACTGCAATTATAATATAAAGTTACCATTAATCACATAAATAAAGTTTTTTTTTTAATAATTTGTATAGACTAGCCAACTAGCATACATTGTTATAAGATTTTTTTTAAATAAAATCAAATAATAATTAATTAATTAGCAATGTCATATGTTTGTAACTTATTTAGACTAAAATTTAAAATAATGTTTCAAACGTTGTTCTAAGAGATATTATAAATATTGAAAGAGTTTAAACCGTGCACAAAAATATCCCAAGAGCTTATTATCTCGGATCAAATTAGTTGACAAAGGTACGCTAAAATCAAGAATTGAGAATTGAGATACACCGATATAACATCATATTTTATTTTTTCATTATATTCCGGACGAAGTCGAATCATATTGCTATTTATAATATAAAATTAGAATATTAAGTTTATATGAATAAACTTATAATAATATATTTATATTTGTTTATTTTTTTATAAAAAGTCTTATAATTATAAAGTGAATAAATAAAATAATATATTATAGTAGTAAATGCAATGCTTTATCTATTAGTGATACAAAAGAAGATTCCTATATTGACTAGTGAACTCATATATTTTTTTATGCAAAGTGTATAGTTATGAAATCAACGAATAAAATAAGCTTTGAGAAATCCAGCAAGTCAATCCGATGTAATAATACATTTCGAGTCCACCTATTCATTGAGTGCGTCACTTTAAAGGATGTATTAAATTAAAATTTAATTAGAAAAAATGATTATAAGCGGCGATGCTCTGTTATCCTATATTTCTAAGGATATTTTGATTTAGGTAAATAGTAATACGGAAGATATATTGAACTGATTTTATTAAAAACAGATAGCATATATTAAGTAATGTGTTATATCATAATACGCATTCGTATAATATAACTTACTAGTTACTATTCTTATATAGGTAACTGAAAAAAACACCACTAAATAGTAAAATAGGTTGGTGAGATAAATAGCTAATCAAATAATTAATCTAAATGTTCTAAAATTCTCTTTGTGTTTTCAAAAATTAATACTCTTAAAAGAAAAAAGTTTCAAATATCTACGAATAATATTTTTAATTACACCAAAATAATTTAAATAATTATTTTTTGTTTAAATGTCCAATTTTGAAAAACATTGAACTTGATAAATATGTGTAAAAAAAAATTTAAAAATACAAAAAAAATTACAATATTATTCTGAAATCAATACATTCATCGCTTCTCTATGATTCTAAAAAATAAACATTCAAATTGAATGTATAAAATGCGGAAGTATTTCTAACAATAGTTATAAAAAACAAATAGGTACTACATAATAATGTTGAATTTACAAATATCTTGTCAATTCCAAGAAAACCTGATCCGTTATTGAAATAAAAAAAGTCTACGAGTCATAGAAATTGAATAACGTAGTGACTGCATAACATGTAACTAATAAATAAATAGTACACATAACCACATAACATACTATCAAACTTAATGAATAAGTAATAACTAATAATCGTATATGTTAAACTAATAACTACTAATAATCAATGATAACTGAATTAAAATCTATTTTATAAGAATTATTAATGAGAATATTAATTAGATTATCTGACAATTAACTATAAGTTAAAGTTAAAATAATTACTTAATAGTTTTAAATAGAAACACAAGCGTGCTTAATAAAATGATTCATCTGAACAAAGGTGATTTAAATAAAATTATCGATAAAATGTAATAGATTGTATTTATATTTTCAGTATAGTTTTGCTGTAATTATTTTTGAATATTATTCGTTTGTTAATTGGTTTTACAAATTGCCAAGGGGGGTACTATTCGAAATAAATATCATTATTTTTATTCACATTTATTAATTTTTTTCTAAGAAGGAAAGAAGGGTTCAAAAAAGTACGTCCATTATATTTTGTATTTCTATTTTCTATGAATAAACGGCTTAATAAAATAAAAATGACATTTTGGGCAAATTGTCTGGGATAAAATTATTTTTTTTCTCTCTCACCAAGAAAAGGGTGTTGAAATAGTGCTACTTTCGTACACGATTGCCAGTACAGCAGGTGCTGCAGTGTGTGCGTATAACGAATCCGAGGGTTTTGCGAACTCGAAATATGAGGAGCCCTTGGATTTTGAATGGACGCGTAGAGCGTTTTTAATCGACACGCCGTTTTCACGGCGACTGTCCAAGGCTTCCCGCCAATTGTGCATGTGATAGTGTCGCAATGACGAATGTGCACAACACACGTTTATATACCTACATAATAATATTATAGGTAAAATCTCCGTTGTTTTTATACTTTTTACCTAAATATAGGGTACGTTATTATTATGATTATTATGAATCAGCGGCATAGTGTAAATACGATAATATAAATATTTTGGGTGCTCAGTAGAAAGGGTTAATCGCGGACATCAAACTGGCACTATGCAAAATCCGCTATAATATAGGTAAATGCAAATATTTCATATTTTTATATGCGCGTTACCGCAAGGTCGCGATTACAATGTAATATACTATATTACTTATGTTTAATGTATATATGTACAACACATTATTATGATAGAGGTAGGCACGGCTGACAAAACGTCGTTTTTCTGAGACTCTGAGTCAAAAACCTGTGACTGTGAACCGCAGCGCGTATAATACAGATACCTATATAATATATCTATATAAATAACCTATACGGCTACACGGGTAATGTCTATATAACAATAAGCGGGACACTCAAGACGATATTATTTTTTTACGCGTTTACCGCAGGAACGCACCTCGTTTTCTTTTCGATCGTAACTTTATACACCTACATACAGGTGATATAAATATATAATTTATCTGCAGCTCGAGACGCGTATTATACATGTATAGAAACGTGAAATGAAAACACAATAACTAGGCTAATTCAACAGACGGCGACGCCGTTATGACATAATCGCCTACCGATATTATAACCTCTCTTCCTGGGTATGCGATACCTACTATACCCACCGCGCGGTTACTGCTTATATTTTTTTTTTTATTATTACTATTATTATTTTCTTTTACTTTTCGTTTTTTGTTATCGAGTTCCGCCACCGTTGCCGGTTTGCCAGTGTTAACCAAACCGCTTAAATGACTGGACCGCGTTCGTGTCCCCACAGCGGTTGCCGATACGACAACCACGACGGCACGACGACGGTAAAAAAAGTGCGTAACGTTTTCGGCGAAGTCGAAAATAGAAAGAAAAATCGAAACCTGACCAATCAGCGGTGGCAGCGGAGGTGGCCCGCTTCTCGGACTTCGATCTTGCAAAGAGAACTGTTGTAGCTTCAGGACAGTATACGCGATATACATTATACTGAATGCTATAGCTGCTAACAGCTAAAACTTTATACCCAACCGAAGCAGATACCATGGACTTCGAAACACCGTACCGAAACTCCGCCGCCGCGTATGTGTGTGACGTTCGTTTCGTATGGGTAAGTCCGTCGACGTGTACGTTATACCGGCAATACACCATATATTATATACGATATTTAATTTAATATTATAATATATAAATTAAGTCACCTAACCGCTATACCACATATATTATTATCCAGTGTCCCGAAACAGCGCGCGCATGAGCTGAAAATCAATCGCTGCTTAGTATAATAATAATCTATCGCCTTATTATTTATACGTAATATTATATATCATTAATCCTTTCTTAATTCAGTGAATAGTTATCTTTATACTTTGCAATGCACTTATAAGTTCGACGCCACTGCAATGGTAATAGATAGCTTATTTAACTCCGAGCATATTTTCTCGACCGTTTAACCATGAGAACCAAAACATGAATTTTGACTGCAATCTGAAATAGGTACTAACTACGTGTTAAGAAAATCTCACAACGTGGTTACGTCTTTTAAATCATAATATTATTTGTAGTGAAGACCAGTCTAGCTTCTAAATAGGTACATAGATTTTTTTTATTAACAAATTTTATGTAATATATTGATATATATAAATCAAGTATTATCAATCATAAACATATTTTATTTCTATAGCAGCAATAAATTGAAAATGTGTAGAATTTCTTAATTTTATTGATACTCTTTTTATTTCACCCTTGGATGCCTACCTATTTAGTATTTTATCATAAAATAAAATCTTATTTCCGGGATCAGACCAGATAAGGTATTATGGTCAATCTATAGATAAAAACTATTGACTCAAAAATAAAGTTAAACAATATTGAATTGTTCAATATATTATTTATTTATATGCAATATTATTATTACTATAATAATATTCGACAACGTTTGATATTTTTTAGGAGGGCTAAACATTCATAAAACTCCTTTCTTTTTTTTTACTTATCTCGGGTCTCCATTTTATCCTTTATAGTTACCTACCTATTCAGATTTAGACTTCTGAATTCTGATTTGAGTGAGGGTGTATTTAGATACTTAACCTATAGGTAGGCACTGATAATAAATCATATTTTAAAATAATTAAATTTTTTTAAACATTTAAATCATTTAATTATTAAAATTTACTGAGTATCCTGTGAAAATACAAAATTTTATTTCAAAATAATACCTTTTTATTCATTGTTTTTTTTTTTTTTTTGTAGAAAGCAGCTGATGATTTTTCTAAGAATTTGTATGTGTACCTACATAGGTGATTAATATAGGTTGGTACCTATTTACCTACCCAGTATACTGAATATACCTCCTAATAATTAAGAAATATATTAAAACTATAACTATTAATTATAATACGCATCAATAAATCGATAATCTTACCAATTATGTATTTTGTGTTTTTTATGTATATACAATATACATGTATAGCTAATGTTAATAGCGGTGGTCGCGGAGTGCACTGGCTCGGAACGCACTGCACTGCAACTATCCAATTATTCTAGTGGATATTACCCGCAACGTTTCATTCTGATCGACCCTTGGGTATCACCGTCGTTGAAAAGTAGGTATACCAGCACATATCTATGCAATCATAAATGTTTAATATCATCTAAATTATAGGTACAAATAAAACGCAATATCCTTGCGTAATTTATTAATATTATTGCGCGCGTAACTTTCGTTTATTATTAAAACATTACATTTATTACATAACTCAAAATAATATTAGGTACCTACATGAGGTAAGTACCTATGTGGACGCATGTGCACGAGACATTTACCAAAAATACAAACCATGATACATAATAATTATTATGAATTATGATAAGTACTTACATATAGATAAATTGTAATAGGCATTAGTAGCCACAACCATAAATAAATTTGAGAACTACTTAAGGAGAGAGTATCTCTCATATTATTGTATTTGTTTACAATAGCTGTTTTGTTTAAATTTTTTTTGATGAACCGACTTATGTATCATTCCCTCTCCTTCATAACGAAATTTAAACTCCATAACAATGGAATTTAAAAACATGAAAATAATTATAATTTTATTTATATACAATCGAACTTGGTTATCTCGAAAACGTCGATACCTTGAATTTTTTCTCCAGTCCCTAAAATTTCCTATTTAAGCAATGTGAAAAAATCTTGTTTAACTCGAATATTTTCGTGGGTAACTCGAAGTTTTGAATTTTATTAATATTATAAAATTGTGATATTTCCCTCATGTACCTATGTATATATTTTAATATCGAAAATAAGGTCATTACTTATTAGTAGAGCGCGGATTTCTATGCAATTGCATATTTTTTTCCTTTTAATATTTTTGGATTTTTGTCAGTTATCTCCACGAATTATCATAATTTGAAGCTAATGGTGAAATTTTTTTTGCATATTTCTGCATATTAAAAGGTTATTGCATATTTTGGCAAAATTCAAAATGTATTGCATATTGAAGCGAAAATTTAAAAAAATGTATAAGATAATATTTTGTCAAGTAGAATGATTTAAAATTTATATCTACTCATTTGGCATTTTTAGTGATAGTTATAAAAAAAACTGGAAACTCGAAATATGACTTTACATCTAAGCTTTTCGATAATTGACGAAACGAAAGAAAAAATGCATTCTATTTCTGGATCGAAAGGTGTAACACTTACAACAAAATTAAACGAGCTTTCCAATAAAAATGAAGGTCTGAAAATTCTACGAAAAATTAATTCAGTGTTATTAGGCGAAAACGTTCAGCTTGAAGATCTTTATCAAGATCCGACAATACTAAGTTGCTTCAAATATGCCCCAATAACTTCGGTTGACGTCAAACGTTCGTTTTCAGTCTTTAAAAATATGTTAATCGATAAACGATACAGCTTCACAGAAGAAAAACTCGAAATTCATATGATTATTCATTTTAATAATAAATAAAATTTTAAAAATAAATTAAGTTTAGAAAATTCCCTAAATTGTTTATTTTTAAGTATTTAAGTAATTAATTATTATAAGTTTTATTGTAAATGTTAAACAAATAAATAATTCTTGCATATTTTTGCATATTTTCATAATTTTGACTGCATATTTTCATGATTTTTACTGCATATTTCGATACTTTTAAGTGCATAAAAATCCGCGTTTTACTTATTAGTGTTATTATTACCGATAAGTGTTTTAGAACGGTTCACCACAAACGCTGATATCAAACAAAAATAAATACCTTTTTAAATAATTTTCTAACTTCATTTTTGTTTACACATACCTACATAACTTTTTAAAATCACATTACTTTATTTATAATAAATACATAAGAATTAATATATTTTGTACTGTTTTAAACATTTTTGATCTGGATAACTTTTTTCAGGTCCATTCAACTTCGAGTTAACCAAGTTTGGTTGTAATAATAATATACTCGTTTCTTAAATTAAATACTTATTATAACAATATTATTGTGGCTACGGGTTGATCTCAATACCATATTTGTTTTAAGCACATGTAGGTGATGAAAAATTAGCCTCACAATTATTATTGAACATGCGTAATTCTACTTCTATGAGAGTAATTTTTGTGCACAAGTTCTATTCTTATCTATACACTATCTTATCAACGTTTAAGTACTCACTACTCGATTCGATCAGACTATCGTTTTGTCGTAGATCGATATAACGCAATTGATCAGCAATCCAAGTACAACACATTTAATTACCTATCATACAAATCGTATAGTCGCGACCAGATTAGACCGATTCTTCGATATAGTCCAAAATCGGTCTGAAATAAATCCCACCAAAATGCGATTTGGTAATGACGATGCATATTCGTGGTACACAAAATTACATTAATTTGTACGGCCTCCATCTACACTGAGCGTTTTTCGGTTGTCGTTTTTTTTTTTTAATTTAACATTTATTAAAAAATATTTTACATCCAAACACAAATATCTATTAAATCTAGAAATAAATAACAGGTATTGTGTATTTTGGATATGCCCTCAAATGATTATATAGAATAGGGACAAAAGCTTAGCTTGGTTACAGAAGCAATGTATTATTTGGAATGGTATGACCTAAGAATCACTTAAAAAGAAGAAAAAATTAAGACAATTTAATCACCAATGAGTTAAGTATAGGTATGAATAAATAATAATAGACTGTAGATTTATAGGTATCTATTTATACAACTATACTAATATACTTTAAATACTTATTGAGTTATAAAAATTAGTAAGTATATATATACATAGCATTTTATTATATAAAATAATTATTACTATTAGATGCATAATATAATTTACGCAATTAAATTAAAATATATAATGATATAATAAGAAGGTACTAAAAAAAAAAAATAATCTCGTTTGTATAGGTGTATTTGGCAATCAATAAAACGCTTAGTCTGAACACTGAGTGATCGTGCCGATTGCGATTCGGTCGCGATCGTTTTTAAATGTTAGTCTGATCTAGCACTGAGCACTAACGGTACCTTACCTTCTATCTGATGTCACCGCAACAATGCCACCGGCCAAAATGCCCACGTTTATTTATGTAATAAGTGTTTTGTGTATTTACTATCGGTTTTTCGATATTGTTTCCTGTTGATAATAAATACGAAATTATATTATACAACAAAATAAATGATAATTCAGACTGTTTATTATTAATACTTCAATTACTTCGTAAAGAATTTTGTTTTCAAATAAAATCATAAATATTAAATACGTTAAAAATTGTTACCGAAATATATGCTACCAAATTAGTACCGATAAGCTAAGAAGTATATTTGAGTACTATTTACTACTAAATTTCAGATAAGGTGCCACCTCACCACCATATCAATGACTAGGTAATTATTTTCCTTTGTGAAAAGTCCCTTACGCATCTCTACTAGGTTTGTTTTATCTTAATTGGTATTTATTTTTTGTTAATAAAGAATAAGAATACTGAATACTATTATTATTATATCTATAAACTTGTTTTATTAGGTAGGTATTAATTCCTATTTTATAATTTATACTTTAATCAACAAATTGAAATTGGTTTTTATAGGTGGATATTTAGGTATCATACACAATTTTCTACTTTAAATTATGAACTAATACTTATCTATAATACACAGTCACTCTTTAATATATTGACATCTTTTTTTTATATTTCAATAACCTGAATTTGAAAAACAGTCTTACAGCATATTAATTCATTTTGTCTTATCGAAAGAAACACTTTATGTTATTTAATTTCCAATATATACTGGTGAGTTGGGGGTAGTAGATAGGTACAAAAATATTTGGCTTCACTTAATTGCTTTTACCTATGCATATTTATATGATACCTATTGCAAAGAAAGAATAAAAACAGTTATTATGCTTGTTAGTTATTAGTTATTTCTTAATGCTTAGGAACTCATTGTTGTAAAAAAATATGTTCAGCCACATAAATCATTTATACAATCATAAATTATAATTTTAGGGCTGTATTATTGGCGTGACATCAAATATTTAAAACTGTTAATAAAACATTAATAGACCTATTTTTCACATATTAAATTTTAAAACTCAAACCTACCTATTAAAAATTTCATAATATATATGTACATATTTATATGTGTACCTCATGACTATACATTAAAATCATAGTTATTACGAATGATTGAGAGAATAAAAAAAATATTTATTGATTTTATACTATAAGCTGCTAAAAACCCAATCAGGTAAATATTATTTTCCTGTTTAAAATTATTAATAGTTAGAAGGTATCTGGGTGATACAGTAATTTGTATGTATTCATTATTCATCCATCATAATTTCAATATATTTTTATTAGGTACCAATGAGCAATATTTAAAATTAAAACTGAATAAAAATTTTCATGAATTTAGATACAAATTTAGCTGTTTACAAAAAAAATAATGGTAAATCAGAAGAATCGATAGGAGGTATAAAAAAAGTTGATGCAGAAAAACACAAAAAAGGTAAACTTATGAATGAAAAAAAATCAACAAAATACAAAGAAGATAAGGGAAATGATGACAAATATAATGACAAAGGAGGCAATGCTGGAGAAATACATACACATAAAGGTAAAAAGAAAGGAGCATCATACAAAAAAGGCGACAAAAAAAAAAAATTTAAAACTAAAAAAGTATGTAGACGCATAATATATAATTATAAATGTAATTAATTAACAAAAAAATGTATTTAATTTCAGGGCTTTCGAGATAAGTATCACAAAAATGAAAAACACAAAGTTAACGAATACTGGGATAATTATGAAACATATGGTACATTTAAGAAGTTTGGGAAAAAGGGAGACAAAAAGTTATTAGGCGATAAGAAAAACAAGAAAAATAAAACCAAAAAAGTTTGTGATGTATAGAGTATTTGGGAAGTATTTATTGATTTTGATTAATACTTTTTTTTAGGGAGGCCAATCAAACAAAGAAATCCATAATAAAGGTGAAACAAAACATAAGTCTGGAAAAAAAGGAGAAATGGGGCATAAAGAGGAAAAACAAAGTGACACTCATTATAATCATAAGTCTAAATATCACAAAGGAAAAAAATCTAAAAAACACCATGAGAAAAAAACGTAAAACATGTTTACATTTTAATGAAAAATTATTACAATAAGAATAAAATATCATCATTTTAACAATAACATTAGAAAATTAGTAGTACAAAAATAAAATAGTTAAGTACAATACTATGTAATTAAATTTAACTAATGACAATAATTAAAGTATGGAAGTTCTCAGGAACTCTGATATGTTTTGTTTAGATATATAGCTATTTTTATAATTCTTTAAACTTAGTCAACAATTATGATTTATCTTTCCATACTTAAAGATCAATAAACAAATTAAAAACAAATTTTTATGCAGAAAATAGGTTTTAATTCCAATTAGATCCATTAATACTATAGTTGGAAAATAATTTGATAATGTAACAGTTTATAGTACATTGGTTTGAGAATAATAAAAATGCCACATTCTGAGTCATTGTAAATAATAATTTAGCTATTAATATAAATCTAAAACTTAATTATTAATAATTACACTACAATAAATATATTTTTCTTGTGCATCACTAATGCTATTGCACACCAAAATATTGTTGCCCAACAATCCATAATTAAATACTCTGTATGAGAAGTCTCATTCACTGGTTGCCACCTCCATGGAAGTGTATTGTAAAATATATTGTGTCCAAGGTACAGTATAATCGAATTTTGGCCTGATTAATATGAATGTTATTATATATATATATGTATAATAATGCTACAACAATACTCATCAGTCAGCACTTACCAATCTCGGCAAATGGTGATCCACTCCAAAGTCTCCAATGTTCAATAATAAGAAACAGAATAATAAATATTAGGAATGCCGAACTTCCAGTAATAAATACATAAGACAAAGAGAACAAATTTTTATTTATTGGTATTAAGCCTTCTTCTTTAGAAAAGTTACACAAAAAACCTCCAGTTAGACCCTAAAAAAGCAACAAATATTATTAATCAATAATTATTTTTATCAGTGAATCAGTAAAAACTGAAATATAAACTAAACATTTATTATTAAGTTAAAATTAAGATTAATACTATACTTAGAATTAAGTCTATTGTACAAATAGTTAATTCTAACAAAAAATTTTATAATATAAATTGGTTGAAATTGAACGTATTGATACATTTAAAAAAATAGATCCCTTGCATTTCTATAAAAAGTAATTGTTAAAAGATAAATTATATCAATAAGTGATGATTACTAAAAATAATAATATTCTTTAATGAATAAAACAAAAATCTAATAATTAATTTGAATGTTCATATGTGAACAAATAAGTTTTCTATAACTTTGAAAAATCTGAATAGTTAATAAAATAACTTTAATACACTTAAATTATTTTATAATAACTTAAAAGCATTGTAAAAACAAAGATTTTGTTGAAACAATTAAAATTTAATAAATAAAAATAAAGCTAGAGTATAATGAAAACAATCAAATTAATGAATAATGTTCATCATTAATATCAACACTTAATATAAATTAAAAGTTGCTTATTAAACATTCTTCTCATTATGTGAAAAATATAATAATGTTCTTACAAGTACTATTGTCCATGCAATCCAACGTTTAATCCGTTCATTTGTATACTGATAACATAATATAATGCGACCAGCATGTACACCCATATATACAAGTACAGCATTTGTCAAAGTACTCAAAACACCTAAAATTAAAATTAATTTATAATATTAAAAATACAATTTTAATGAACACTTATTATATCTTACCTTCAGGGTCAAATGGTAATGACTGATAAACAGGTTTAGGAGTACCGGGGAACATATGATTTTCACCAAATATTAGCCTATCAATATATCCAGCAGCACCACCAGTACAATTAATGTTTGACGAGCCGTTGTAGAGCCCCCCTGGTCCCAAATATCCTTTAGGGCAACCAGGTATAGGTAAAAAGAAAGTAATACTAGTATGAATAATTACTAATAAAATTACTATAATCCATTGTCGAGCACTTTCAATAATATCTCTAATAACATCTAATCTTGTATTCTTGGAAAAAATATTAAAGTAAATATTTTTTTATGTTCTTATGAATAAAAATTTTTAAATAAATTACCGTAAAATAGGGTTGAGGTTTCATAAAAATTGTTTCCAATGTTGCTGCTATGAAATATACAAATGCTAGTCTCTGTAATACACCCAAAGGTCTAAAAGTAGTTAAATTATTGTTGTTGACAGAATTTAGTACTAAACCCATGATCAAAAGAGCAATTGATCTTCGAACGATACGGCCAAAAACATATTTTCTTTTAGTGCTTGAACGAAGTTGAGATCTCAATGATATGGCTATGCTTACTCCCATGACCCAACAAAACCTAATAAAAAACACATTGTAATTACAAATTTTCAACTAAAAACCAAATAGGTACTGTGAATTGAAAAAAAGTTATTTTTATTTTACCAAGGCAATATGAAGTCTGCTAATGTGATACCATTCCATGGAGTATGTTCAAAGAACCAATAATGTCCACCTCCTAGATTGACAAATACCATTAATATAATAGATATCCTAAAACAAAAATATTCCATTAAGAAATATTGATATACTAGTTTAATAATAGCAATTACACAATTATAATCAAATATAAGATTTATAATGTAATTATTAATTTTTATATTTTTTTGTATAAATAAATAAATATTTGTATATAATTTACATAAAACTTATAATCAGAAATAAAATTTTAATATTTTCCAGGCTAAGAGAAACATAATAATAGTATGACCATTGCTTAAATATTGTGAGGGGAGGGAGGTCACTTAAAAGAATTCTAGTTGCTACTTAAATATATACCATTGCTCAGAACTACTAATTAAAAAGGTATAAAATATATCCAATTGCAATAAAAAAAATAAAAGGGGATTACAAGAATGTAAGTGAAAAATTAATTTTAACGTAAGAACTTTAAAATAATGAAATTTTAATTTAGCATTTTTTCTTTAATATTTACAAAATACCTGATCTTAATAAAATAAGGTTTTAAAATATTTAATTTAAATCGGACAATTAAATTAATAACTATAGTTGCTTATCAATTTTATCATTTAAATATAAAATAAAATTGTCAATTAAAAAAACCTTAAATATTTTAATGTTAAATTTAAATTACCCTCTAAATGTGTCTAATGATGTGATACGATAACTATTATTTTTGACTGGTGTTGGAATTTGAGGATGAATAATAACTGGTTCATTAGAACCAGTTCCAAAATCCTGGAATAATAAAAAAAAAAAAACGTACAGATAATTAAATACTTCTATTTTATGTTTTTACAGAAATTTTAGAAATTAAATCCAGATTAACTTATAAAGACATTTATAATAACAAATTATTTAGTATGACCATTAAAATTAAATAAAGTAGTCAATTAAGAGGTTAGGATACTCGCATGTGTTGTCTCAATCTTACAAGTACATAACATAGCAAATTTACACACAACAGATCACATTTAACTATGTTAGTTTAAAAATTTGAGTTAATTAACCTTATAAATGATCATAATTTACTTAAAAACCTAACCAACATACGAACACAGATAATGTTCTTACATTATTTGTTAAACCATCAAGTTTTACAACAGGCCAATTAATTCTGAAGAGCAAAATGTAATCTGCTGAGTATAAATTTGGTATGTTATTTACTTGTAAGATGGAGATAACACATGCGAGTATAGTGTCTTCTAAATATGAAGATGTATATTGAATTATTCAAATGTGAATAATTCAATATCTTAAATTTTTTTTTCCTATTACAACACAATAAATATGGTAAAAAACACAATTTGATTAAAAATAATTGATAAATTAATTTTACTATTTGATACAATATTGTATAATTAGAATACTATTTGCAGTATCAACATTTTTATAACCTTGTATGACAACATATAAATAATTTTAATTCCTTACAAGAATGCTGAGTACACTTTTTGAAAATGTTTTATAATTATAATTATTAATTACCCCAAATACCGATTAGTAAGGCATTTTTATCAGATATTAAATTAGTAATTAAGCTATAAAATTAAATCAAACCGCATTTTTTAATTCGACATCAGAACCATCAATTATTGATACATTACGGCTAGAGGCCGTCTGAAACAATTAATAGTGCATACAAAAGATTCAAGATAAATGACCCTTAAAAGTTTAAAAATAAGTATAAGTTACATTTTCAATATCCAAATCTGTCTTTGATGCAAATCGGAACACAGATGGCACTACATAAGTCCTTTGCAAGTAACTGATGAAAAACCAAACAGCAAAAGACGGTATTATCAGCAATAATGCATAAACAAATGCTAAAAAAAATATAATAAATAAAAATATATTTATAAAATAAAAACTAATAATTTACGCAAAAATAGATCTTGAGGAGTTGATATTTGTTTGATTTGGGAACAATTGAAATTGTTTGAAATATTCCATTGATAAACACCATGTTCTTCAAAAGTTTGAAGTGTTCTGTTATAAAATATAATATATAGTTGATAATTACTCATATATTTTTAAAGTAATAATAATGAACAATAATTATTAATTATATTAATGTATTGAAAAGTAATAAATTACCTGCAATTATTGTGGCTGCTGTCATTGGTTAAATCAAGCCAAAGACTATAAATTGTATTTAATCTGATATTAGTAACTCTGTTATTGGATATGTTTTCTGTTTTCAATAAATCACACTACAAAAAAAGTTAATGTAAAATTATTAAATAATATCAAACAAATGACAAATTGGTATATAAACAAATGATCAATGGGATTAAAATGTATGATGAATTATGATGTTAGCTAAATTTTTCATACATATAATTAACACTATAACATATAATATTAATAGGTCAATTAGTTATTATATCCATCATAATTTCCTATCATAAAATAAAAATACTAATAAAAGTCAATAATATTTTATAATTTGTAATAAGAACTCTAAAAAATAAAAATAGGTATGAGTTAATATGTTCTTACTTTCTAGAAAGAATATAAATATGATAATTTATTATTTTTAAGGTAGGAAAATCAAAACAGGTAAAAATAGTATTATAAGTAAAATAATATTTACACGTGTGAATTTTGAAGAATGTTCGATTTAAAAATCCATTAAATATGACTAGTTACTCAAATGCATTACTAATTATTAATGATTATTTAACTATATTCAAAATATTAAATATAATTATAATTACCAGAAAGTCAATAGACTAAAAGTATAACTGACATAAAGATTAGGATAAGTTACCCAATACAATTTTAAATAATGCTCAAATGGTGAAAGTGCAACTATCATCTAGTTAAAGGTAGATATCTATTAAATAATTATGGGTGAAATAGGTATATGATAAAAATATTACAATGTAGAAAATAGAAATAAATATAGCTTTAAAATGTATTAAAATTTTATTTTCAACAACCTAGTTTTTTTTTAATATGCTTAAAATAAGAACCGTTCAGCAATAGTATCTTTTAATTAAGATAGATTCAAGAGAACCGTTTTTTTTTTTTTTTTTTATTTGAGTAAAATTTGAAAAGAAAGATTGCTACTTTGTTAACTGTTGGTATTTGTAAATTATTATGTAAAGTATTGCTAGTCATGAAGGTTTTGCAGTTTTGCTTGGTCCCAGATTTAAATGACATATGACCATAGAGGAGTTATAATAATTATTTTATATATTAAAATTTTGTTTTCCAAATTCATTGAAGAGGATAATAGAGGCCAGAGGTGTAAGCGAGTATTAGACTGAAATATGCTTTTAAGTAAATAAACAAAATAAAGATCAAATTTCTATTTTAAACCTATTTTACCTGGCAATTAAAACTTTTGTTTCAATACTAATAATATAAATCAACAGCTCTTTTCTGTTAAAACTAAGTAAACTGATAATTATCTAAATAAACTATTTACTAATACTATATTTTTAAATATATAAAAATAAAATAATTGTAGATAAATCAAAAGTAGGAAATGGAATGTTTTAAAGGAGATATGGTAGATGTACTTAGTCAATTAAGTCTCTTTTGCGTTTATGAATCATATGTTTTGTTATCTGCCATAAAAAATACTTTAAATGCCACTTAAAACTAGATAATGTTTTAGTTTATACTCCTTTTGATTAAATATTATATATTAATAAATACTTTAGAATAAAATACAAAAAAATAATAAAACTTTTTAAAGCTCATTAAAATTCAATGTAGGTTGATACGTACATATTATGATAGATCCTATAAGATAATAATTTATTCAAGTTAAGACTTATAACATAATGTAATTAAAATATTTACATACATTTTTAGTTATATTCAAATTATGCTTTTCCTAATCATTAGTATTACAGTTGATTTTTTTCATTTTTTACTCACTTTGTAACATTCTTTTGTTTGCATCCACAATGAAATATTTGGCACATTGTCTGCCCATACTTGTAAGCATGCTTGGTCGTACAAAAGGTTCTTACAATCTTCCGACGCCATTTCAAACTCTAAACAAACACAATACATCGAATAATAAAAATAAATATGATTAAAACAAACTATTAAATGATGGCACGTACTTGTGTAAAACAGTTGTAACAGGAATTCGGAAATTATAACAATAATAATTATTATTTTTAATCATTGAAACAAACAAAATATGATGAACCATTTTGGCAACCGTCGAATGACTCCACTGTTTAAATCACCACGTCGTGAACGACGTGAACGGCATTAAGCAAAAAATACACAAAATAATAATAATGACTATCACACGTTAGACATCGCCCGTCATGGGATTTGATAACTATTAATTAACGTAGACATCATACAATATTATTGGGTAAAAAAAAAACATCCTCATAAGAATATTGAGGACACATAATGATTAGGGGAGATAGGTACTGTGATCACAGAGAAAAATATCGTGTAAATAATGAATATATGAATATAATCAACCATAGACTATCATATGAATAATATTGACTCAAAGAGTTAGAGACAAATTATGTTTAACAATAGATACGACTAAATACTAAAATAACTAATGACAGTAATATCTAATAAATAATGATTGTAATGATACTTTTGAGTTATGAGGTTACAACTTACAAGAGACAAATATTAAACAGACAATTATGTATTGTATATACGTCCTCACTCCTTAAACCCCCACTCATAAGTGGAAATATTTAAAACTGTGAATGTGAAGTATTAAAATCTGTATATATAAATGTTATAATCTATACTCTATACTCTATAGTTCTATACTTCAACTTCAATATTGTATACTGTATAATGTGTATTATACATTTATATTTATACATAGGTCTATGATATTATATTATCATGCACGGAAAGTATTTTGCATAGACCTGATATCATTAGGTCTATGGTATTTTGTAATATTTAAGAAATGCTGATAATAAAAATACTTGGTGATAATTAGTAATTGTGATAACTGATAGTATTTTCTCGTTGGCACCGTTGTGAAACTCGCTGATTTACTGTTCAATGAGTGATAAATGATATTTGATAATAATAGTATTAAGCTATAAAAACTATAAAAATCAAAAAATTAAGCAATAATGAATATAAAATATTCATTCTAAAACGTAATAAACGTATTTATTCCTTTAAAATTATATTTAATCCAATTCCGATCAAAAAATTGTCCAGTGATTACTTATTCTAAAAAATGAAAATATTTTAATGACCAATTTTTCCATAGGATACTGTTCCAAACCTTTTTGGAACAAGTGCTTTTCGCAACTACATATATTATCCTTCAAATAACAGGCAGTTGTGTTCCATTTTTTCCATTTCAATATATTTATAATATTATTATCACGATTGTATATAAATATACTAAAATTTTAAAATCACGGCATCATTGATTAAGTATAATTAATGACACTATTGACTACGGATAATATAATGAATAATGATATAATTTCATTATATTACCTATGGGTATTGACTAATTAAACTATTAAACCATAGTCTATACAGTATGAATTAAGTCCAACACCTATTAATATTTTTTTTAAATTACCTACAGCCCTACAAGTAATTAAAGTATTAAATTGTGTTCTAGAGAATATGGCTAACCTGTAACACAATTTTAGGTTATGGTCTTTTTCTGCTCTCAATTTTTTTTTTAACTCCTCAACTTACAAAATTTTACCCATATATATTCCATTTTTTATTTCTTTTAAATTGTATTGTATATATTTATCGTAAGTTGTCGGGGTTAATTTTTTTCATAAACTTTAACTTATTATAAAATATTGTGGCATAATTGACGTATAGTGACATATTAACTTCGTAAGATAACAGAAAATATTACCCATGAATTGGATTTTAAAATTTAACTAAAAAAACTCATTAGATTTCAGTAATCATGTCATGGATTTTCGGAATGGGTGGTGGCAATAACCCCGAATCACCACCAAACTTTGAAAATATAGACAGTGTTTCAGATAAGAAACCATCACCGCCACCATCATCATCTAGTGGCGAGGCATATAAATTTGATTCATCTGCATTAGAGCGAGCAGCTAAAGCTGCCAAAGAATTGGAAAAGTCAAGTTGGTATATTATAATTTAGTTACTGATTAATGATTGTTTAAGAATAGAATAGCTACTAATTACACTTATAATATTTACAATTTTGAAGAACATGCCAAGGAAGCCTTAGATTTAGCTAAATTACAAGAAACTACTAAGCAAATAGAATATCAAACAAAAATAAAAGAATATGAAATTCACTTGGAACAAGTACGTGTGGAACAAAAACGAGTTGATGCTGAAGAAAGAAAGAAATTGTTGGCTGAAGAAACTAAACAACATCAATTACGATCACAATATCAAGATCAATTAGCCCGCAAAAGGTATTTTAATCAAGTATATTTAAATTTAAATTTGCATTTGATGTTTGTAAATATATAATTTTACAAAATAGATATGTTAAACATATCAATTATTGACAATGGCATACAATCAGTTTTTTTCATTTAAATGTGATATGTTTCTTGAAGGGCTTATCCGACACAATGAGCTTATAGACCATAGTCAAAATATTCACACATCATGTTTTTAAAGATATCTATATTTATAAGAAACTGTTGTATAAAGAAATACGTTTTACCATATGCTCTTTATTTTATATTTATTTATTTTTTAAATTTATAGTTCTTTTGATTTTCATTACAAATATCCAAAAATAAGTGTATAGAAACAAATAGTTTAAAGTTTGTGATTTTTGTGTTATGCACAGTCTTGAGACATGTGCTACTATTTATACATTGATGAGTATGTACATGTATGTCGTAGTTATCAATTTGCTATATGAAAACCACATAGTACTTTAGTCTTTCATCAAAAGTAGATTGGTAATTTAACAGGTTTAACCTTACTAAATAAAATATGAGTATTAGTTGTTCCGAAGCCAGACTTTGGAGAGAGAAGGCAAAAGAAGGTCTCAAAATTGGAAAAAACCAACTTTGATACCTTTTTAAATGTATTTTCAGTGTGTAAGTAATAAGCATTAAATCAATTTCATGTATAAGTGTAATTAGACCTTTGAATTATTATTTTGAGCTGCTAACATGCCTAATTACTGGTTGGTAATATCATTGATTATAAAACTAGTATTTATAATCGATGGTAATATAATATTAACTTGATAGTTGTGTGATAGAGTACTTTTATATAGATTATTGTAAATACATAATAGAGCACAGTAATACATCATTTATCATCTTATGATCAAATAAAAATAAAAATAATTATTCATGCAATATATTTTATATTTATTCACTTGGTCACAACCATGTTATCTAATTTACTGGCATAGTGTAAACAAAATACATTTAATTTATAAATATATTAAGTGACAGAAAATTAATTTTCAATTTATATTAATAATTGATACAACTTAAGACAAAATAACATCACAATTTTTGTCCTGTCAGTGTTGTGTGTGTTCATGTTCAAATAAATTAAAAAATATAAAAGATAATGAGCCATAACCCCTAAACCTCTTTACTTATGAATACCATTAATTTATCATTAGATATGAAGATCAGCTTCAACAACAACGTGCTTCTAATGAAGAGAACTTAAGACGACAAGAAGAATCTGTAGCAAAGCAAGAATCTATGAAAAAGGGTATTTTAATTTATTATTAAACATTATATTTTGAATAAATACATATTTCATACTTTTTTCTTTTGTTACAGCTACTATTGAACATGAAATTGAGATGAAATCTAAATTAGATGCTAAAAAATCTGAGGCTAAAGCACTAGCAAGAGCAAAGGCAGAAAGAGAAAATCATGATTTGACAATGGAACAACTAAAATTAAAAGCTTCTGAACATAGACAAACAGTTTTGGAGTCCATAAAGTATGTACCAAAGTATTATAATCAGTAAGGAAAATTTAATAAACATAATTTTTTTTTGTTTCAAGAACTGCTGGTTCAATTTTCGGAAGCGGAGCAAATGCATTGCTTTCTGATTGGGATAAAACTTTAATGGCTGCTGGAGGATTATCTCTTTTGGCACTAGGTATTTACAGTGCCAAGGGTTTTACCGGTGTTACAGCAAAATATGTTGAATCAAAATTAGGTGAATATACTAAAGTTATAGTGAAATATTTAACTTATAATATCTCAATTTATTGATATTTATACATTTTTTTAAAGAAACCTATTTCAAATCAAATCAAAAGTTTATTTTATTTTAAGTTACAATTTAAAATGTGTGTTAATTTTTAGGTAAACCCTCATTGGTTAGAGAAACCTCTCGATTTTCATTATTAGAATCAGTTAGACATCCAATTCTAACATTTAAGGAACTCAGAACAAAAAAAAGTAGTGCATTAAAGGATGTTATTTTACCACCAAAATTAGAATCTAGATTAGGGTAGGTACATAATATTATTTTTATTCAAACATATCATTTAAAAAATGTTGTTTTAGTGATGTTGCTATTGCCACTTTAAATACTAAGAAAAACCGTGGTATGTATCGTAATATCTTGATGTATGGACCACCAGGTACTGGAAAAACACTATTTGCCAAAGTAAGAATATATAATATTAATTAATAAGAAAAAAGAAAATGTTAGATGACCAAATATGTTTTAAAAGAAAATCTTATATTATTCAATATAATTATTTTATCAGCATTTTCTTGTGAAATTATATATTTTAAGTATAGATTGGTCGGACTTAATTTTCTTCTCATTTTTGAACTATTTTATAAATTTAGATTTAATAATAGTAATACAGTCAGGGGCGTATTTAATGGTGGGGCTCATAGGGCCTGTGCTCTCTCCCTCCTTCACTGTATTTTATACCATTTTTTTTTATTATTGAAAGTATTAGCATTGCTTAATATACATCCAGAAGTAATTATAGAACCTGAAGAAGTAGTTTATGTATATGATAATAAACACCCTAGACAGCACCCAAGCCTTCAGTTATTATAGCTATAACAACAAATTGCTTTTAATTAAATGTTTTATTAATTATGCAATTTTACGTTTTCATCACACATGTATTTTGATTATTTGGTTATGAAAAATATGAGATATTTTATATCTCTAACGCCCCATTACGCTAATTTGAATTTTGAACTTTTTGTTTGTGCCCATTTCTAATTATGCCTCTGAATATACAGTGTATACACTTAATAAACAAGGTTTAATCAATCATCTGAATTCTAAAAAAAATTCAAACTTGATTATTCACAAACTATTTTTGGGTGTTATAATTGGGTTATACATTATTCTAAAATTTCTCTAACTGCTTAAAGTTTAAAAATTTGAGAACCATTTAATTTTATATAAGTGTAATAATAGATAAAAGAAAGTTTAATAAAATTAAGAAAGGTACAATTGTTAATTGATAATATTTTTTGAATGTAGACTGATTAATAATGTTACTTTCAGAAATTAGCTATGCATTCTGGTATGGATTATGCTATATTAACTGGTGGAGATGTAGCACCTTTAGGAAAGGATGGGGTAACTGAAATGCACAAAGTTTTTGACTGGGCAAATAATTCGAGAAAAGGTTTATTGTTATTTGTTGATGAAGCAGATGCATTTTTAAGAAAACGTAGTTCAGAGCTAATTAGTGAAAATTTACGCGCTACTTTAAACGCCTTTTTATATAGAACTGGAGATCAATCAAACAAGTAAATATGAATTAATTACCTAATTTATAATAAACTAGCTGAATTACCCGGTTTCGCCCATTTGTAGTTTGTGCTTCCTCAAAATGACTATAATTACGAATAAAATTAAACTGAATACTAGTATTTGGTACAGCCTTGGGAAAAATGTTAAATAGTGTCACAAAACGGGAACATAAAAATGAGCTGTTCTTTTACATATATATAAAGATCTATTTAATATGTTATACCAGTTTATGAAATTTGAACGTCCACTACATAATAACGATTTTTTTCGTTGTTCATTATTATCTTTATAGTAACTTAGTTTAATAGTGTCCTGGTCACACGTAATCCACGTTGTTGTGGATAACACTAAATTTGAATGTATGTTATAGTTACATGAAAAATACTGCATCTTATTTATTTTAATTTATACATAAAATATATCTTTTCTTTTATAAGCAGAGAAATGTTTTTATTAAACAACACTTAATATTTTAAAATCTATTTTTTACTTTTTGAATCACCAACATACATTTTTTATATGAATATTTAAAGTTTAGGTGAATGGTGTGGTACAAGGGTACTTTGCAAAATGTTGGTTTACTACTACTTCATAGGTTTTATGTAATCTATTATTGAATATTTTATGTTTAAAAGTAATATATAAATAAATATTTCAAAGCTTAACATGGTCCATTATTTAGGGACCTCTAATATAAATTATAATTTATTATTTTATATATACATATAATCTATACGTTAAAGACTTTTTTTAATTTTAGATTTATGCTAGTACTAGCAAGTAACACACCTGAACAATTTGATTGGGCAGTAAATGACAGATTAGATGAAATGGTAGAGTTTGGTTTACCAGGCAAAGAAGAACGAGAACGTTTAATAATGTTATATTTTGATAAATATGTTTTAACACCAGCAACTCAAAGCAAAGTGTAATAGATAATTACAATAATATTACTTATTTCATGTTATGAAAAAAAAAATGTTTTATTTTGTAGCAAGTTGAATATTGAGAAATTCGACTACAGTGCTCTGTGCAAACAAATGGCAGAAATGACTGAAGGGATGTCTGGTAGAGAAATTGCTAAATTGGGGGTAGCTTGGCAAGCAGCTGGTTATACTTCTGAAGACGGTCTGTTAACCAAAGAGATGATTTTGAACCGATGTGAAGATGCAATTAAGCAGCATAAACAAAAGGTATTTACTGAACTAAAAAGTTACAAAACAATATAATTTTTTTATATTTTTTTCTAAATTTTTAGATGGAATGGATGAGCGAAAAAGAAAAAAATGATTCCAGATATACAAGACAAAGCAGCATTCACTAATATATAGAATTATTGGTCCATGAATTTTGTAGTTAAATCTCAAATGAATAGTCATCAACATAGAATGTTACTTATGGGTATTTAAATTCCCTAGAATTCCATTATGTAATATATTTAATGTTTTTGTTGTTGTAAAATATATTTGTATAGTGTTTAAGCTATGACGCATACGATAAAGGAGAGAGAGAGAGAGAGATCCGGTATTCAAATAAACAAATTACCAAATTACGTATGTGTTAACTATAAAGCATTTGCTTTTTTTTGTCATACGTGACATGACATAACATCAGAAACTATATATTATTACACTTAGGTGTCATTACTTAAAATTTAAATAAAAAGTGCAGTAATCTCAAGAAAATAGTTAATAAATCAAGAAAACACTTATATGTAAAATAATTTTTTTTTTTCAAAATAATTTTATTATAACAATGTAGTTGGATAAAATAAAAAAAAAATCAATAGTTATTTACATTTAAAAAGTTTATCATCAGTTTTATTAATAAATAATAAATGTTAAATGTTATTTAAATTACTTAGTATTTATACAGAACAAAAATATAGGGTTATTCGTTCTTTTAAAGGAATGTACAAGTCTAAATAGTTATTAATTTTATGTATTGTACACTGATATAAATTTATATAATATAATATACTAATTAAATGTATAGAAAAAATTAACGTTAAATATTATTCAAGTAAAATTTTTAATATGAGAATATTATAATAAAATCACACTGTTTATATGCACTTTAATAAAAAAAAAAAACTTGCATTGAGCTGTATCTTTTTCAGCAAGACTCGTTATATTTTGATAAACGTATCAATTTCTGTGATTGAAGTGTATATCATTTAAAACTAAATTTTAACAATACAATTCAGATAAACTCTTAACCTGGATTTGGAGATAGTAAAAATAATAATAATGTTTCAGTGAATATATTTGTTAATTGGAACAAAACAATATAAAATTCCAAATAGTTCATTTCTCAACAATTATTTAATTTTTTTTTTTTATTTAATATATAAATATATCACAGAACTATTTTTCAATACTTAGTTCATAAATGAAATGATTTGTTTTCATTAACATAAATGAAATGTACAATAGTATTGTTATTTCTTCAATATACTTGTATCAAAAGCAATCTGACATAAAATATTGACAAATCTTATGATAAAATAAATATTAAAATTATTTACTTTTAGCAGGTTGTTTACCATAGAAACTATCCAAGAATAATCCAATAAATACTATAATAGTACCAATCCATTGTCTAGTCAACATTGGATTACCAAAAAATATAACTGATGCAAGTACGGTAAAGAATTTTCTCGTTGTTGTCACAATTGAACAAGGTAAAGGTCCAAAATCGCTTACAGTCCAAAATATAAAGAATTGTCCAAGTGCACTAAATGCTGAGAATAACAGTAGATGCGCAATTATCTGAGGGTAACGTTGTATAAAACTAATAAAGTCAAATATTTGACCAGTGCCAATAAGTGCAATACTCAAAAACATCATTGACCACAAGTTCATGTTAACCATCATATGTCCAGATTTTGTTTTTGATTCACTACGCATTCGCTCTTGGACAGCTCCAGTTATACCGTCCATCATCAGTGAAAATATTAACAGTATTTCTCCGAGACCTGAAACTGTAAATACCATAATATTAGCAATAGCAAATGTAAAAATATTGAATGATAAATTGATATAAGTGAGCAGAAACATACAAGAAGAATCCAACTGAGATGGATTAGACTTGCCGTCTTTGAACATGAATAAAGCTACTCCGATGACAACGAGCAGTACAAACATATACTTTTTAAATGGGTACGACTTGCGTCCCAATAGTACACCCAAAATCATGACTGGTATGGGCTTTCCTGACTTGGCTACCACCTAAAAAATGAAGTGTTAGAATTATTGTTTAACTTCATCAATCATTTATTGTTCTTAAATAAACAAGAGATGGACAACATGAAATAGGTACATATATTATGTATTAATGTGATGTGTGCTAGGGATATATAGTACATCTCTCTGTAGATATATAAAAGTTATTACTATTTAATATTATTATCTATGGTCTGCATTATGTTTCGTCGACCGACCTGAGTAGGATAGTTGACCCATTGTAACGCCATGTTGCTGAAGATCATGGCCAGTAAGTATGTGACCGCGCTGATAGCATAATATGCTGACTTCGTTGTGTCAGCGCTCTCTTCGGGGAACGCTTTGAGCACGACTCGAGCAAACACATAATTGACCACGCACTGCACAAACACCAGCGACAACGAGTAAGTAAACTTTTCACCCTGAGTACCGTACGTGCCCCGTGTGATCTTCTCCTGGAGTATCCCGTAGAAGAAATAGCACACGAATATGCCAGCGGCACAGATGGTGAACTTAGCCCGATTGTTCATGGTTCGTCAACCACCGAGTGCAGGGTGCTTCGGACGGCTAGAAGACGTCTTTAGACCCGTGAGTACTGCTGTGGTACCTAAGACGTTAATGAAGCCGCCAGAACACCAGCTTGATACTGTTTTTTTTATAATAATATGTTTTTATGCTTTATAGAGGACGCAACAACTAATGTTGACATGTCGGCACAAGCCACAGAGACACCGATCCGTGTTATCACTACGTGACTGATAGGGAAATCGTCCACGTGTCTGGTCACAAATGGTTGTTTTTGGTTGGAAACCACTGAACTGAATACAGATTTTAAATCCAACAAATTAACTCTACAGTGTATCTGATTACTCAATATTCACTTCATACTTCAAAGGTCTATAAATAGCTGGTAATTCTGATAAAAGTATTACAAGACAAGTATTGATAATAAATTCAATTCGATAACATTAAAAAAAAAAAACAGAAATCAGAATCGACAGAATCAGCATCTCCTCACAAGCAAAAAAAAAACGAATTAACAACAGTTTATTGATATAAAAATGGGTATTTGTCCGAAACGGAATCAAATGTATCATTTTTAGCAATTTTAAATCTTAAAAACCTAATAACAATAATAAAAAAAAATAATAATAGGTAGGTAGTAATAATAGTACTCGACATCTTCCAACATAGTGGTGAAACTGAAATTGTCTTCACTTATTTATTTTTAGCTATACACATAATATGTACCTATTTATAAATTTTAAAATATTAGTATTTTCGATTATTAAGCAATAATTGTCAAGTCACAAGTGCAGGGGCGAACTGGCCAGGGCCCAGGGATACGAGGGGCCAATCGCCTCCCGTGTCCTCGATCATTCATATTAGTAAAAATTATTTAAAATACATAATATAAAATATAAAATAAGATGTATTTTATAAGTTAGGTATAAGTTTATACTGTATATTATATTGTATAGTTATCTTAAATAATTATCAACCTTCACTAATTCGTTACAAATGTTACGATTATACAAAACTTAAACTGAACTCGATCACTGTTGATGTAATTTTAAATTAAAATTATAACATATATATTTAATTAAAATTAATAATTTAATTTAATAATTAATAATTTTAAAATTAAACCGGTAGTATTACAGGTACAATATTTATTTTTGCGCTTTTATCCCATTATTAAGGTTAGTATAGTCAATAAATTCCTCAAATTCGTTTAAAAATGATTTGACAAGTTGTAAATAAAATGGATACTTATTGTATCCTTGTGCTTTTCCTATTCAGTATTCTATACGAATATACGATTATAATTTTAATTCATCTGCGAACAGTAATTTATTATAGAGTAGGTATACAAAGTCGCATTAACTTTATCTTGTACTCAAGTACCTATGCTGTGAAAGAGCTTTCTTAAAGTTAAAAATAATCAAAAACCGTTTAAGAGCATCCATGGGTCAAAAATTAGTGGAATTACTAATGTAAATAAGTATTGAATCTGACTTGTTACCTGATTCCAATAATATCATAGATAACATTGGAAAAAATACAACGGAGCTAAGCAAATTATTAATTTTTTTAAATTTAAAGTTTAATTTAAGTTTGTATTTTAAATAAACTGTTCTTATTTGTTTAACTTTTTAAAACATTTAAGTGTGAAAGAAATTGAATTGATGCAACTATTAACTAAAATATAATATCTTTAAAATTTAAATATATATATTTAAGCCATTTAGGTATAAACTAAACCCCGGGCTCTAATATTGCTGATTAACCTCCCGGGCCTCTTGACACCCAATCCGCCCCTGGTCAAGTGTCCAATATTTAATGCCAAAAATCCAGGGTATAGATACTGATAAAAATATTAAACGAGATATATTTAAATAATGAACTGTTTTACTTCGTGTGAACATAGTGTTGGTTAAGTATGTAAGTAGGAAGTACATTACTTCGATATTCTTTAGTGTTTATAGGTTGTTCGCGCAAGTTATCGAGTGCGATAACTTCAAATAGATTTTATTGCCGCCCTAATCGCGACTCCTCTCTTCTGGGGTCGATGGCCCTATGATATGCTATTTTAAAACCGATTGCCCGACAGTAAAAACGGATTAGTAGGTCAACGGCCCTCACAATCACATATCTTTACGGAATTATACCCGCCGTAAAGATTACGTACAGATATTGCCCTACCAAAAGTGATATAGGGTCATTGGCCACTAATTTCGGATAGCGTATTTTTTGGGCGTTGTCGGAGACACCGGCATGAAGAATAGTCACTTCTCCGTGCGACGCTTTTGAGGTAACAAGCTTTCGTCACGATCACATATACATATATATATCGTCGTCGCGGTCTCCGCACTTTGTAAAACTTAAATATATATATATATATTGTGTCTTGCAGTCGTCGTTGTATTAATGCGTGGTCGTCCCGTTCATCATTGACTTAAACAAAAATTATTGTGTGTCGCGATCTCCGTTATGTAACGATCGTCCAACGAAACATCGATAAGGTGACGAAGGGTGAAAAGACACGGATAGAATATAGAACCAGTGAAATACTGTAATTTTGTGGACCGAATAATAATTTGGCTTTAAAACAATTTTTTTAACCGGTTTTGATTTAATAAAAGTGTTAAGTACTTGTATGTAAATATAAAATTATGTAATTTCGTTCATATATTACGAACTTGAAATTTATGTTTAAAAAAATGATGCTTATAATTTCTTTGGTTTCAATACAAATACTTTTGAAAAACTTTGTATTAAATTTTCAAGCCTAAGCAAAAAAAAATTGCTTATTTTATATATTTTTAACTAAAATATAATTTGTACATTTTCGAGATTTTGTCAAAATTTTAACTTCAAATTCTTATAAGAATTAAATGTGCACAAACATTTTAAATATTTTTATATATCTTTAAAAGTTATTAGTGATTTTATATTATAATATAAAGAATTTTGACTCAGCTAATAATTTTCTATTGACATCTGTAGGAAAAAAAATTAAATAAAGTTGAAAATGTCTCATGCTTTTAAATTAAAATAGCTTAATATATATAATAATTAATTTTTAAATTGTTGAGATTTTGACAAATTTGGTTAGTAAGTTTACAAAATTATAATAAATATCTTATAAACATCATTTTTTTTTTTTTATTTCTTATAATATTAGTAAATGATATACAAAATAAAAATTTTAATAAACTTTCTGTATTTTAAATAGTTGAAATTATTTTATTTAAAAAATATAATATATACTTAAAATTAAAAATAAAAATAAAAATTTATCACTTTTAGTCTATACTATAAAAATGTAAAAAGTTTATATTTAACTTTAAAAAGTCATAAAATATTAATAATTACCATATGCATTTCTATATAAAGTCAGTCAACATAGTAAATTATTGTATTATACATACAATATGATCATAAGGATAATTATAAAACAGTAGCAATAAATATTGCTATATTTTTATTCATAATATGAATAATAAAATATAAGTTATATTATTTTTTAATGGACAAATCATAAGTTTAATTTAATTCATTAAACAAAATATTCAAATAATATTGATGAATTTATGCATTTGTAAAATTTGGAAGGATTTTAAAAATTAAATTGTAATAATTACTTAAATATTTGAATTTTTGATAAGAAAATACAATAATAATATGAATAGTTATGACAACCTTTTTTTAATATTCCTTAGGGCTATTTTGGCAGCAGCAACCTTGGCTTCTTTTTTATTCTTACCAAATCCGTACATAGCAATGATTTTGTTGTTCAACATTATCTCTAGCTTTATCATAGTTCCTAAGCCTTTATTGATTGCTTGAGAAGAAGCCTCAGGTTTACTGAAAAATAAATACCAATATAATATATGTATAATTTTTATTATAATTTTTTTTTTTTTCAAAATTATTTTCATAAATAACAAAATAATACTTCTAAATTACTAAAATTCTTACATTTCTTACAATTTTATCAAATAATTAAATATGTTAAATATTTAAAAAAAAAGAACTATTTTTAAATAAATATTGTAAGGAATTTTATCAGATATTTAAATATTATTAGATTTTGAGATTCTCAATGAATATGTGAATATTGGTTCTACAACAATGTTTTTTGGTATAAAGACATATTTTTTAGTAAAATATTTCTTGAAGTTGTGCAACTTGCTATTAAGTAGTTCACTGTAATGGATTTGTTAAATTTAATTTCAATAATAAATCAAATATATAATGAAAAATAATTCTGAGCGGAAATGGTATGTTAAGTATATTATTAATAGCTAAGTAATATTTTATTATATATTTATAAATATTGTTATTAATAATTAATTTAATAAAAAAAAATGTTTAGCTTTTTTTTGTATTAGCACAAGATAAATAGTTAATAAAATGCGTCGATTTTTAAATTTAATGGTGGTTATGGATAGAAAATTGGATTTAGTCTGCACTAGAAACAGGTCTGAATTAAAATTCCCAGTATTTTTCAAAATAATTGGCAAAAAACAAAAAAAAGTTAGGTTAGATGAAAATATTTACACTAATTCAATTTTTAACAAAATTAATTTTATTTTTTGATATAGGTAGCTCAAAAGTCAAAAACAAATAACTGCTGATTTTATTTTTGGTATAATCAAAATATTTCAGTTTATTTTGAGCTATAAATATGTAGGTGAAATTTTTTTCAAATTTTTTTTCAATAAATGTTGATGAAAAAAATACTTAAAGGATAGAAATATCTGTAAATTAAATACAAAGCTTCTCATAAGATGTACATTTATCAATTAAAGATATTGAAAATCTATAGTAAATATTTTTTTGTGGACGCTTAAAGTTATAATTTTGACAAAGTTCATCAAAATTGTAAAAAAATGCAAACTATTTTGCAGTTAAAAATACACATAATATTTTTGTCTAAGTTTTAAAAATTATATACAAAATTCTTCATAAACAGTTCATACTGAAACTATAAAATCTATTTATATATAAAGATAATTATTTT